AAATCAGAAAAATCACAGTAAATATACTATATCCCCTAGATGTCTGCCTGAAGAGTCGAAATGGAATCCATCTGAAGGGCATCAAGTTGGAGGACTATGTCTTACACAACTAGGTGAACAGTCATTCCAGAACAATCAACATAGCAGCGAACCAGAGAAGCAAAATACACAGCTAGAGTATAACAATGTCACCTTCTTTATAATGTCCCTTCTGGACTTTCACCCCGTCTTTTAAAAGCACTTTTTCTTCGTCGTACCTGCTAACGAAATAGTTAATTTGTTGCTAGAACCAAACTTTTCTTAACTTCCTACTCACTTCTTTGCCGGTAGTTAGCAGAACCGAAGATCTCCCACAAGAACTGCAGACTGCTCAGAACGAATGACGCACGCAACCCCCTCACAGTAAAAGACGCTTTCCCGATTTATGAAGAAAACCGAAACCCCACGCCCATTGTGGGATGCTACAACCGAAAGCTTTGCAAGGAACGCTGGGAGATGTAGTTTGTAATACAAAAAAAAAAAAAAGCTTTCTTCCAGGCATTCTTCGCCGATCTTCTTTCCAAATGCAACTCGCGGCGCCTATAACCTTTTAGTAGATCTTTTATTTTTTTGTTTCAGATCAACCCCAAACTGAAGCTTGTCAAATCACTAGTTCATTTGTAATACAAATGATAAGAGACTATTTCCTCACTTTTTTTCCTTGTGAAAAGATGCTTTACACTTAGTTGCTTTTCTTAAAGCATCTCACAAACATTTTAATGTATATTTTCTTTCATTACTATGGGCAAATTTCAATTCTACCCTGGGAATTATCAAAACAGAAAGCAAGAAAGAATGAAGTGAAAACTGGCCCTTGCTCTCAGTCTTGTCATTACATTTCTGCAAAGAATACCATCTAAGTTGCATGTGTTGAGTTGTTATCTTAGTAACCTTAGAAAAGAACTCTTTGGTGGATCTCATGCACAGGTAGTGACTTAGGTTGACTGTTTCCAAAGGCTGTTAAATATCTCCCCCTGGTGGTATCTGAGCGAATTGACATATGAGCTTGATGTAAAAAGATTGCTGGACAGAGCATAGTATATTGTACAAATAAATGTGCATTTTTCTTGAGTGATGATCAGTGCTGATCCCATTATGATCAGATAGTGGCAGGCCACAGTAGAACAATTAGGTATGCTCACAAGAATCCAAGTCTTGAAAGAGCTGAACTCTCCCACATTATTGGGTAGTCCCCAAGTCTGCTAATCAGCAGGGTGGGTATCTGCTTGATAAGAATATCAGACTTGACACTTCTTGTAGCCTATTGGTCAGCTCATCAGCAGACTCTGAGAGATAGTGTGATACAGAAAAACTAGTTCTTTAGATACCCATCACTTCATAAAACCCACCAATCAGATGATCTGCAGACTGCAGGAAGTCATGGGCAAAGAGGGAGAGTTTGATTTAATGGTGAGACTCTAGCGAACAAAACAAATAATCTTCATAGACCTATGAATGGGCTTAATTTGCAGGTAATTAAGGAGAAGGACATGTTGATTCCCATAGACACCACCTCTTACTGTCATCTGAATACAGTGTGTCTTGTATTTTGCTCAACTTGGAATTGCTATATATTGCTTTTGGATACAGCACTTTAATAATGGATCAGCTAAAAATGACTTAAGGCTGTCTGAGCTGAGATGGAGAAAAAAATGACAATGCCATTGCAGACAAAAAAAAGATGGCAAGATTTAATTCTGGTTAGGATTAAAATTCAAGATTTCATGATTAAGGATTCTTGGGGGGGGGGGTTAGGAATAGGGTTTCTTAAAAACTGAAAAAAGTCTGATTTTCACTTTGATCCAGTCTGATTTGCAGAAGAAATTTTCTTGAGCAAAATTCACAGAAAAACAGGATTAAAAAAACTTGTTGCCAAATCTATTTTACACAATGTCCACAATTGTTTTGTCAATCTTCTAAAGTAATCCTGTCATCTCCTGTGAATATTGAATTTCTTATTCCATAGAAAATTGCAACAGAGTATAGTCTCCCTACCTTTACTATATTGTCCAACTTACATTTGAGGACAGATGCAATTTGTCCTAGCTAAGCAATCAGTTAGGAATCCTCTACTTTTTAAAACTTCAACTAATAATTATGAAATAAAGAGTAGGATTGGGATAGAATGCTCTTCATTTTTCCTCATTAAACCTCCCCAAGGGCATCATAGCCAAAGGATTTGTGCTTCTACTGATCATTTTACTCATATATCAATTATTCTGAGAGCTGTTTTGCATTTCATTATGTAAACTGTGTTTGATAGCTCAAACTTATTCAACTGAAAGCCTAGAAGTAAATTCCATTCATTCCAATAGATGTATAAAATTGTCTCTTTGTCTGCCATCTCTTTAACTAGTCCCTGAAATGAATCAAGATTCAAGCTTCAGTGAATGTTCTGTTTGAAAAAACAAAGGCTTGTTTCACGCAGCTATTCACTGGCTATGCACATTAGACAATATGTTAGGATAAAATATAGTTTGCTAACCTGTGCCTCACAATGCTATATAAAATTAGTCAGTATAGATTTATTGTATGGTGTATTGGGTAGACTCAGGTGACATACAGTAGTTTAATTTTTTTGCTTAGGATACTGGGCAGTCTGAGCTCTTCTAATTTATTAACTATGGTTTATTTTTAATTAAATGTGAATACAACCAATTTGGTTTAACAAATTTTGGCTAAATAAATTATGGCTCAAATTCTCAATGGGAGAAAATCATTTTATCAATAAGCCATCATTGAGCAGTTGATAGTTTAATGTAGTGTCTTTAATCAATAATCCACTAACAAAGACATTAAAATCACTGTTATTTGACCAACTCTAACCTTAAGCATTCCTGAAACATATGCTAACTTTGTTAAGGATATAATTGTAAGTACTGTATAGATTTTCTTCAAAGTTTATGGCACCTTCTAATTCTATGATCTCTTGTCAATTGTTAATAAAGTGACCAACTGTCCTCCTTTTGGGAGGACAGTCCTCCTTTTTTGAGTTCTGTCCTCCCTCAAAAAGTGTCCTCCTAAATGTCCCCTTTTTCTATATTTGAAGACTTATCTGCAGGGCTTTTTTTTCCTCATAGAACGCCCAGAAGGCATTCCGGGACCTTTTTTTGATGGTTTTTTTCAACTTTTGCCTGAGCTGTGCTACTCCCCCTATTGGCTTTCGAAAGCCAATAGGAATTGCTGCTGAGCGCACCAAAACACCCAGGTGGCAAACTTTGCATGTGCAAGTTGCAGGAACTTTGCACCCCTCTCTGCTACCCAACTACACCATCTCTTACTTAGTTCCGCAGATAGCTGGAGAAGACTGGAGCGGTAAGTTTCTCTTGATCTCCCCTGTTCGGTTCTACACGGGGATGCACTGGGTAGGGGGTGGTGCTGTGGGGTTGCTGCAGGGCCGGAGCCAGCGCGGCTGGTGCTTTGCCTTTGCGAGCTGTGGGGCCAGCTCTATGGGGATGCGCAGGATGGGCGGTGGTGCTGGGGGGCAGCTGGGGGGGCGGCTGCAGGGCTGGAGCTGGCGTGGCTGGTGCTTTGCCTTTGTGAGCTGTGGGGCTGGCTCTACGGGGATGCGCAGGGTGGGCGGTGGTGCTGGGGGGCGGCTCAGGGCCGGAGCTGGCTCAGCTGGTGCTTTGCAAACCACGGGGCTGGCTCTCCACGGCAGGGCAGCGGTGCTGGTGGGGCGGCTGTGGGCGGGGGCGCGGCGGGCAGTTGACCTTCCATGGGCCGCGCCAGCTGGTGGTCTACGTAGTGCTGACCTGCGCTGCCACCACCTCACCCTGCGTGGCCATCCTGGAGCGCCTGGCTCACAACACCTGCCTCCGCCGCCCATCCCCGCGCAGTCCAGCCGTGTAGATTTTTGGACAAGTGAGAAATCGAGATTGAATGTTGATACTCTAGCTGCAGCACTTGCCGTAAAATTCAATATGAAGGATATTTCTTGTTCAGATATTTCCAATATATTGTTAGAAGATGATACATTGACAAAAAATATTCATTCAATGGAAAAGTACTCATTTAAATAATTAATAGGCATGTAAGCATAATTACAATATAAAATGTTATTGTTACAAATGTTTTTTATTATGCATTGATCATATTATAGTGTATTCTGTATTATTGTTGCAATAAATACAATGTTTCTTTTATTTATGATATTTTTTTCTTCAATTTATTCGTGTCCTCCTTTTTGTTGTAAAAAAGTTGGTCACCTTATTGTTAACATCTAACAATTTTTACTACAGGATGACAGTGTCAAAGATGTTTTTTTTAAATTACTTTAGTAATATAGGATGAAGGACTATTAGGTATAAAAAAATAATAAAAAAGAGATTAAAAACAAAACTACAAGTTACAAATTTACATTGATTTTTTTTTATCCTAACAGTTGTTCACATTCAACTATCCCTCAGATCTCCAGATTTTGCAGACTACAATCTATGAAGGTCCGATGTAGGAAGAATCTGCAAAGTACCAGATTAGGGAAAACTGTCCCTTGATACAAAAGCAGCAGGCAAATTAAATCTAAGACGAGTGCCTTAGAAATGAATATACTTGATGAAAACCAACATTTATTATAGCCACAAAAATGCCACAGCCGACAAAAATGACACAGACGGCTATTTCATACACGAAATTTCCCATACATTAGGAAGCGTGGTTGGTCCATTTCCTGTACAAACTCCCATACCACGCAATAATTTCCCAATCTTCCAATGAAAGAGCGCGTGACCCACCCCTTCTGTTTTCCTTCCTCTAGCATCATCTTATGAATCATCTCCGACAGCTAGCCAATGGGCGAACACGGAGTCTTTGAAGGGCTACCCAATCTTCCCGGAGTGAAAAAAAAGGAAAACGCGGAGTCCCCGCCCAAATCGCGACCAGCGAAAAGTTATATCCCGTCAGCCACTGGGCCGCGGCAGGATAGCGTTCCTTGCGTCGCGTCAACCAATAGGAGCGGAGGACGCAATGATACATTGGCAAGGTGAGCAAGATGGGCGGGGCTTGGCTTGCGCTGGTTGGAAGAGCCGCGGTTTTGAGGGTTCGGTGGAATCTCTTCGCAGTAGATTGAAGGTGAGCAGCGTCGAGGGACGGCGCAAGCAGCAGTAGGCGCTGCACCTGAAGGAGGTGGTAGTTGTGTAGGAAGTCAGGGTACTTGAGGGTAGAGACCGCTAGAAAGTAATGATTAATGATGTGCAGAGATGCATGGAGGAAGTCAGATGGGACCAAGGCCCCTCAGTGGTATTTTCATTTTTTCCCCCACAAAAGCTTATTTCTGACTAACCAAGATAATATGGCTTAACATCTCTCAGTGCTTCCAGAAATTGCAGAGGCTGTTCTCTGACAAGTTTCGGAGAACTCCCAATCTGTGGTTGTTGAGGTTACTAATAGTTAGACTACAATCCATCGTTTCAAGGTATAATCCTGATACTAACAAAGAATAACTCCATTGAACAGGGTGAAATTGGCTTCTGAATTAATATATGTTTGACTGATGTAGGGGAGAACAAACGGATGGATGGCTCTACTCTGACCCTATAAAGCTGTGTATGTTGTGCTGTTACCAATTTGAAAAACTGGCAAAACAGATAAAGATTGGAAGCTTAAATGGGAAAAAAGAAATGAATAGGGCATCTAAACTTTTTACATATGTAGGTTGGATATGTTAAAAGAAAAAGTACTAGGATGCTATTAGTGATGTATTCTAGCATCTGGAAAAGTTTGGTTAGAAAACTCTTGTTTAAAGCAGGAAAACTGAGAAAAGAGATTTTGTATCAGATTGCTGTTGTTGTGCATTTGTAACTAAAGATGTGAATATATGTCATCTATGAGCATTTTCTTTCAGTCATGGTTTAATATTTTTCCTATCATTAACAGAATCTATAGCCTGTAAAAAAGAGAAGGAAAAAAGTAGTTTTCTGTTAATATGGCTACTTTTCTGATAATTTTTCATTATCTTATGGTAATTATGTCAGTGCGAGTAAGTGTGACACAGTTCCTGCCACATCTGGTCCTTCCATCCATCCATAGGATGCTTGTTAACTGAAAGATTTAATACTTAGTAATTGTTCGCATAAAATAACTTTATGACCATCCTTGCATTTGTTACCTTTGAAGGTTTGTAAAACAAAGGAAAGCCAAAGTATGATCATAAGCACAGCCATGGTTTCATTTATAACACTTTGCTTAAGAGCTGAGTTGCCAATCTCAATTGTGGTTGCTAAATGTACCATTTTTTTAAAATCTACCATTTAATTTTGTATTTATACTTCGTTAAAAATATACTAGTAATGGGAAGCCAACAGATAAAAGAAAAAAAATGGCTCTTTGTTATAGCAATATTTTGCCATAGAGTGGCAGAGCTGTATGTGTCTTTTTTAACTCTGTGATTTTTTTTTTTTTTTTTTTGAGCTATGTGTACCTGATTGTAGCTCTTTTCCTTCATTCAGGATAATCAGAATGCAGACTCCAGTAACTCTTCTGGCTTCACCAGCTCTGGTATGGAATGTTTGCCTTATACCTGACTTAATGGGAAAGTAATAAATAACTTCATTTTTCTTAAATTATTTGATCAAGATGATCTATTTTAGTAACACTCATATTTTACAGAGAAAGCTGAGTGACTTTTTCTAAACCTCACAATGAATTTTGGCAGATTATTTGTTGATTCTTGTCAAATTAGTTTCTTAAGAATTTATTAAAATGGTCAAATAATTCTGTAAAAAGTGCAAACAAACATCTCCCATTTTATTTGCTCATCTGGTACACATGTCTCTGTCATTTATTAGTAACTGATAGATGGGTCTTCCTGGAATAACCGGGCTCTGGACCATCCTGTTAATTCTTCACCCTGGAATCTGTTTTCCTTCAGAAAAGTCCAATCGTTTGTTACAAAGATAATTTATGCATTTACAAAATGATTAGCATAGTAATGGTTTCCAGTTCCAGACAAGTTTGGAAGCAACCTGTATGTGTAATGCTACAATTTTATTTCTCTTCTTGAACAGCACATTTTCAAAAATGCGCAAATTATCCTGGAATTCCTGTATTAGAGATACAAAGAAAAGAGCAAATTGTTCTGGAGCCAGATTGTTTCAGCATGAACAATTTTCTACATCTCCTATGACTGATAATTTATCCAGTATTTGCAAAAGAAAGAAAAAGTGCCTTTGCTTAATAGCCTTGAAGTAATGTCACTAGGAGGAAAAGGCAAATAGACTGTTAATTGTGTCTGACTATTATATAATGTCCTGGCTATTAAAAAATTCCCAGTCTTTTTACGTTCTGAAATGAAAATACAATTGTACAGTATATATTTACAATAATTTCCATTTTTCCACAATTAAAATAGTAAAGTACTCTATTACGGTTTTAGACTAAAGACCATAATAAAGTACTTTATATACAGTAATCTATTGTATATATTTATAATATTTGCCATTTTTCCACAATTTAAATAATTATTATGGTCTTATTTCAGAATATAACTAAAGATATAAACAATAAAAGATAATATCATAAATAAACCTTAACCTTTTTTTATAAATCACCCCACTTGATGAGGATTCAATATTCTAATGTATCCTTTTGCCAAAAAGCAAAAACTTTTGATCTGTATGTATTACTTTGATGTCTGTCTGACAGTAGATAGTTTATATAAAATACATCAAGACCTAATTTTTTTAAAAAAATAAGAGCTGATTCAATCTTGTTTGAAAAAAACCTACGGTAAGAAAACATGTTTGGTTGATTCAGCCTCCCTTACTTTGCTTGAATGTATTATTTAGGGAGTTGTGTGTATAATGGTATGAATAATTTGAGCAATTGTTATGATAAAATGTTCTTTAAAATAATAATAAACATAGAATTCCTGAATATTTTTAAAGGAAATATCTAGCTGGCTTTAGGAATGGACAATTAATTGATTTGTTGAATTCCAATAGCCATCAGTTGAGCTGGTATAGCTATTAGTGAAAGATGATACAGTTATAGTCTAGCATCATTTGAAAGTCTACATATTATCCATCCCTACTTTAGTACCATAAAAATATCTATTAACTGTTGGATGAAGGTTGATAAAGTAATTTATTATCCAAGTATTGTTGTTTTAACCATTCAATTGTGTCCAACTCTTGGCGACTTTATAGACAAGTGCTCTCCATGCTATGTTGTCCAGCACAGCTTCTTCAGTTATTAGATGTTCATCTTTGTATAACTTTAGATGTTATCAAACCAGCATGTTCTTTGCTTGCCACTTCTTGTCCCACTAACCATTCTTAGCCTCATTGACTTCTCCTATAATTTACACACATGACATGGCAAAATAAATCAGATGTAGTTTTATGATTTTGGCTTCTAGTGATCTATATGGTTTTATATGATTTAATATCTTTATGTTGGTCATTTTGGTTATCCATGGTATATAATTTATGCCAGCACCATAGTTCAAAGGCATCCATTCTTCGATCATTCATTCTCAATGTCCAACTCTCATACCCATATATAATCATAGGGAAGACTATTGCTTTAACTAGCTTACTTTTTGTATTTATATCAATATATCTGTTTTTCCAGATCTTATTCATGTTAACTATTGCAGTGCAGCCTAAAGTTATCCTGTGTTTGCTTTCAGGAGAACTGTCATCGTGAACAATTTTTAATCTAAGGAAGATAAGTTCTTGAACTAATTCAATTTCCTCCTTGATTTTAAATAACTCATGTCCATCTGCAGTTGTTATCATTATTTTTATTTCCTGATTTTAAGACTCAATCCTATTTTTTTCACTTTTGTCTTTGATTTTTCAGATCATTTATTTCCTTATTTTCAGCCAAAAGTTTTTTTATCATCTGAATACTTCAAATTATTTATGATTCCAGGGTGGATAATCAATGACTTTAAAAAAAAAATAACAAAAAATCAGATTTTTTTAATTTAAATCAGATTTTTTTGATTTTTATCAAATTTAATTTAATAAAATGCTTTTAGAGTAAATTTTTATCTAAATATAGTTTTCTATTTAAGACACATTAATAATTTAGTTTATTCAGCATGAAATAGAGCTTAGTTATGTAGCATGAGGCTGTATATTCTGCAATATTACACTTTTGGTAAACTCGTTCAATGAATTCAAGCTCTGTAAGCTGAGATAAAATGCACTACATTGATGCATTCACACAATTTCACAGTAACCATGAGATAAATCATAAAACAAAGTTCAGGAATATTCCTTTATCCCATTGGTTTGCAAATCTATGTATACTACAAACTGTATGATTGTTTGAAGAGAAATGCATCTGTACCAGGCTCTAAGTGCTTTAATTAAATAAAAAAATATTGAGTAGTTCTCCAATTATGTGTGATTAGCCCATTAATCTAAAATCAGTTCTGATATCTCTGTTTTACTAACCTGACAGCTTATTATTCTAATTAGGAAACCTTTCATTTTGTTTGCAAATAATAATATTAAGGATTCTAACTACCAGCAAGAATGAGTGCTTACATTTAAAGAGCACCTGTCATTTCAGATCCATCATGGCAGTGCCTGTTAGCGGGCATCCACTCACCTACTACCCGCCACGTCCCTCACCTTGTTGTGTTACTGCAGCATCACCAGCCATCCCATTAAAGTGAATGGGACAGTTGGTGAGTCAACAGCGGGTCAGAGGAGGAGCCGCTGCAGGACAGAGATGACAGTTGCTCTTTAAAAATTATGATTTAAATCGAGTTGATTTAAATCAAGCCTTTTTACTAGTGATTTAAATCGTGATTTAGATCAACTTGATTTAAATCAAACCCACCCTATATGATTCTCCCCCCAGTTTTCACTCTAACATCTGGCAGTTCTAGATCTAATTGATGCATGATCATTTCAGCATACAGATTGAACAAAAATGCTGATAAAATAATCCCTGTCTAACTCCCTTATTGATCCTGAACCAATTTGTGTCACCACTGCACAGAATAAAGTGTTTTCACTGTGACCTTCTGCTCAGGATATAGTGATCTGATAAATCTGATCAGGTGGGTTGGGACACCAAAATTGTACAAAGCTACTCATTGCTTATTCTGTTCTACACAGTCACAAGCTTTTCTGTAATCAATAAAACACATATATAGATTATTTTGATATTCACACGCCTTTTCCATAATCCATTTAATGTTGGCCATGGGATCTTGAGTGCTGTGCCTCTTTCTAAAGCCAGCTTGTACATCAGGTAACTTTTGATCTATGATGTTCTGTAGCCTCTGTTTAATGCTTTTTAACAGAATCTTGTTTGCATGAGAAATCAGTGCAATCATGTGATAGTTGGAGCAGTCTCTGGTACTTCCTTTCTTCACTAATGAGATAAAAACAGGGCTTTTCCAGTCCCGAGGTCACTGACATGTAATTCATATCTCTTGACCTAGGGCAGAGATAATATTAATTGGCACTTAGTAATTCCGCAGGTATTCCATCAATACCTGAGGCTTTCCAGTTTGGCAGTTTCTCTGTGGCCCATTCTACTACTTCTTTCAAGAAAAATGCTTAGTTCTTTATTAATTGGGCTGTCATCACTGTCATCTTGATGGTAGGTCAAAACGCTATAGAGTCCTTCCGTATATTCTTTCCACCTTTTCTTGATCTTCTGCTAGTCACTTAGTACATTCCCATTGCGTTCTTTAACAGTTCCTTGCCATGCTGTAAAGCCGGATACATCATTTTCACTATGGCAAACCTAAATATGTCCCTTCCTGTTAGCTTCTTCCAGATGTTGTCACTCCTCCTTACACTGCCTATTTTTGTTTTTCCTGGCTTCATGTTGGAAAATTGCATTCAGCTTTTTAACTTCGCCTTTCTTACCTTTGGCTTTGGCTGGCTGCCCTTTGCTGATCAGCTATTTTGCTAGTGTCATCACTAGCATGGTTTTTGGCATGATATATACATTCCAGCAATTTCAATGATATTACCTTGGATTTCTCACTATGTTCATTTGGATCTTTCTAGATTCAGTGGTTCAAACCTTTTCTTAATTTCTATGGCATGCATAGGTGAGATGCTGTTCACATTGAATTTTTGGGATATAATACCTTTTTTCACTCTGAGCTTCAGTTTAGCTGATGCTCTGAGCTACAATTAACACCAGGAAGTGTCTTAACAGATGCAACTGAATATTTCAAGCATAGTTGCCATACAATGAAGTCTGTTTGATTTCGAAGTTGTCCATTTGGTGCTGTCCACATGTATAAGCGTCGCTTGTGTTGAATAATATAAAAAAAGATTCTTTTTTGATATTTGCTTGAGAACATATTGAAGCTCATTGTAAAAAAATCAAGTGTAAATGTAAGGAATTTTAAATAGATAGATTTGGATTACTTTAGATTTGAATGGATAGCTTAGACTACTGTATAGATTTGTATGTAGTTGGATATAAACTGAATTGTTTTTCTCTCCAGCTCCGCTGTTGTTCTCGAATTCTAACTAGGCCAGTTTCCCTATCTTTATTGAGCAGGCCTGAGACTCAAACTGTGCAGGTAAGTATAAGGAGTTATTATTATACATTATATTCTGAAAGTACAGAAATGGGCTATTTGATCCTTAGATCTATAGTATTTCACTGAGCTCCTGTTTTTTTACAAATTGGGGTGCATTAGAAGAATTTTATATAATCTTATGCACAGCATTGTTGGCCTCCACAAAAGGGAGGCAATCTCACCATAGAAAACTACGGTATTCTTTCCATATGATCAAGAATGTTTAATGTTACTTAAGTAATACCAGAAAGAATTCTTTTGTAATGGCTTATAAACCACAAGCATAGGTGAAGACAATGTCCATCCTGATATTATTATTTCCCTCCCAGCCTTTTCAGTGGAAATTGAAAAAGCGTCCTAATTGCCATTTCTCAACGGGTGTTTCTATACCTCTTATCATCAGTATAAAAATTACTTTGAATTAGATGGTTCATGAATTTCAAGTTCCAAGTACTATTTAAATAAATATTTATTCATTCATTCAGTGATAATGCTACCTGATTCCAACTGACTATATTTCTATTCTTGTTCAATTCTTTTCTGGAGTTTCCTCTTAATCATAAAAAAATCACCCAATTAGGATCTCTTATATGGACAAGCATTTCAGGTGTATCTGTCCAGTACTGTGGTTTTCAGAATCTAGATATTTGTAGTTTAGTGGTACCTGTCATCTTTAAATAGACATTTAAAGGGCATTAAATAGGCATTGGATTTTCTAATACTTCTAATAGAAAGTTTGACTCTTGGAAATTTAATTGTTGTTTTTGTTGTACAAAACCTTCCATTTGGCTTTCTATGTTTTATTATTATGGACCTCCAATACTTAGAAACTATGAGAAGCCTTTAGTCCTCCAGATGCTGTTGAATAATAATATCTATCACAGTGCTTTCAACCCATGGTATGCACACCACTGGTGGTACTTCGGCACTTGGCAGGTGGTACATGTACGATGGGTTAAAAAGCACTATAAAAAGAAGTGTAAAAGTGTAGTGGGAGGATGAGCTAAAGCAGTGGCAGTGCTGCACAGGCCTGTGGAAGAGTCAGCTGGAGTTGTGTCGCTGTAGCTCTGCTGAGCACCCAGAATTGGCGCAGGGCTCCAGCTGATTGGCGCTTTTGGGAGCAGAGCGCAACCTTCGGGAGAAGGAGTCAGCTGAAGCTGCACTGAAGAGAAAAGGAGGAGAAGTGGGGGAGAGAGGAGAGAATATAAAAGGAGGAGATTTTGATGGAAAAGAGAAAGAAAAAAAAAAGATGACGGGGGGGGGGAAGGGGACAGAGAAAGAAAGACACGCAGCCTTGGAGAGAGGAGTCAGCTGGAGTTGCACCAAGGAGAAAAGGAAGAGAAGGTGGGAGAGAGGAGAGGATATAAAAGGAGGAGGTTTCAGTGGGAAAGGGAGAAAAAAAAAAGATAACGGGGATAAAGAAGAGGATGGAGATGGAGAGAGATGGAGGAGTAGCTTCTTTGAGACAAGCAGAGGGAGAGAAGGAGATAGAACAGTGCAAAGATTAAAGTCAGAGAAACAGGCACAAGTTTCTCGTTAAAGGTGTGGTGAGTGTACAGATAGTCCTCAACCTAAGACCACAATTGAGCCCAAAATTTATGTTGCTGAGAAATTTGTTAAATGAGTTTTGTCCCATTTTACGACTTTTCTTGCCACATTTGTTAAGTGAATTACTGCAGTTGTTAAATTAGTAACATTACTACATTACTAGCTAACAGCTGAATTACATATTTTTGTGCAAGAAAAAGCATGGAACTTTCAGATGTTTGGCTCAAACTGTACTAATTATTTGCTCATTTCACAGCCTTTTGGCTTTTCCATTCATCAGCTGGCTAATCGGGAAATCCAAACCAGCTCTGTCTCCTGTGATATTGATACAGCTGCTAAGTTCATTGGTGCTGGTGCTGCTACGGTGGGAGTAGCTGGTTCAGGTGCTGGGATTGGAACAGTGTTTGGCAGTTTAATCATTGGTTATGCCAGGTAAACTAACATGCCAGAACTATTTATATATAGTTAGAATCTATTTTATGACCTTTATCCACAAATAAACTCATCTTCTAAGAAGTAAATTTTGCTGATAGTTGAGAAATACTAAAAACTTTAGCTACAAAAAAATGTAGAAGAAATTAGTGAGTTCCAAATAGAATTCTCTTATCAAATGTTTGGGATATACAAATATCATTCCAGATCTATTGTTTATGTCAAATGCATATTTTTCAGGTTAATAACCAAGTAAAGAACTAAATTTTATAAGCACATAGAACCCGATTACATTATGTATTGTGTTAGGGTTCCTGCTGGATAGCAGGAACTGTGCATACTGCTTGGTAGTAAATTCTGAAGTGAATTAATTAGGGCTGTGCAAGGGTCCCTATAAAGTTGGGAATAAAAGAGGGCATGCGTAATTCACCGATCCTGACTCTTCTCTGACTCAAACCATCGAATTGCAGGAGACATGTAGCTAATGCTATGATATATCCCAGCAGTCCCTAACTTTTGTAGCTTGGTGGCTTGGCGGGGGGGCAGGAGAGGGGAACTGGTACATGCACGCGCGTAGCTCAATTCGTGTGAAGGGCAGGCTGGCACACATGCATGTGTACGCCGGCCTGCTCACACAAGTCAAGCTGTGTGCACACATACACCAGTCTATGGCCTGGTTATGAATAGACTATGGCCCGGTAGTGGGCCACAGCCAGGGATTAGGGACCCCTGATGTATCCATTGATTATGAGAATCATAAAAGTTCCAAAACATGCAAAGCATACTTGTCTTAAATGCATATTTTTGCCATCTGGGGCAATATCTCTTTTTTTCATAAAACAATTATCTTTCTGTTCTGTTGCCATTTTTTTCAATCTGTACTGTATACATATGTTCATAAAACTTAGAATCAAAAAATGTATATTTTTTTGAAAACTTATGCACATAGTACTTGACCTAAGACCAGAATTGAACCCACATTTTCCATTGCTAAGCAATGATTGTTAAATTAGTTTTGCTGTAGAATGCTACAATGGTTGTGTGAAAAATTGTCATAAATGTTCTTCAGTGCCATTATAACTTTGATCAGTGACTAAATGAGTGGTAAGTTGAGAACTACCTGTAAAGCATTTTGCATTTAGGAACATCTTTTATTGAGTTTTAAATTAAAGGGAATGCCGAGACCATATTCAGGTGTCTTGGTTTAAATGATCCTTGTTTTGAGAAAAATAATTCCAGCTTCATTCCAGCTTCCTAAATCTCTCCTTCCATTCACTCTAGGGACAAAGACACCAGGAGAAAAGCTAAAATATGTCATCCACTCCTGACAAAGCAAACAGTTTCCATGAATGTATAGCCTTTATTTAAATAGAAAAATTATGCAAACTTTCCTAAGATTTTAAATAAATTATAGCCAAGTACCTATGATCTATGCCAGTGGTGGCGAATCTATGGCACGCGTGCCAGAGGTGGCACTTGGAGCCCTCTCTGTGGGCACGCGTACCGTCGCCCAAGCCCCGCCTCCCCCTGCGGCCCCCTCACCAGCAGCCCTCTGGAGGAGAGTTGCCCCCAGGCGTGGCTGCATGGAGCAGCACAGCCAAGGACATAGCCGGGCAATAGGGACAAGACTCCACCCTCGCACCACATAGCGTGCAGATGGTGCTGTGGAGTGTGGGCGGAGGGCGTGGCTGCCATGGCGCTGCAGGGCTGCCTGGGTGATGTGCTGTGACGGGCCATGGATGTGGTGCATGGCCCTGTGGGCGGGTGGGGCAGGGGGCAGAGCAGGCAGGGCGGGAAGTGGAGCAGGGGTGGGGGGTGGTTTTGGGGCACTCAGTCTCTAAAAGGTTCGCCATCACAGATCTATGCTGTTTAATGTCAATAATGGTTTGGAAAACATTACATAATATTTTATTCTGGAGAATTCAATAGGAATTTATGTCACAGGCTTTTTTTTTTTTTCTACCTACAGGAACCCATCCCTCAAGCAGCAATTGTTTTCTTATGCTATCCTAGGTTTTGCCCTTTCGGAAGCCATGGGGCTCTTCTGTTTGATGGTGGCGTTCTTGATTCTGTTTGCCATGTAAAAAGCTCTGCTGTCCTCTCTCTCAGTTTAAGCCTGCTTCTCTCACTGAAATGTTAGAAATATAAACAAACTTTAAATAAATATAATTCAAGTTTTTGGGGGGTTTTGTCATTATTTTTTATGATTCACATAGAAACAGGAAAACATAGAAAACTGATGACAGAAAATAACCTAATGATTAACTGAGTCTGCCCTTTGAGTTTTTAATTTTTTTAAAAAAAATTGTCAGATGATGGACATATGTTTATCCCAAGCATATTTAAACTCAGTTATTGATGATTGACCTACTATTTCATCTGGAAGTCGGTTCCAATTTTCCACTATTCTTTTTAGGAGATTTATGCTTGAATAATTAAAATAGAAATAAAACACATCCCATTAAAATATTATACTATACCTTCATGGAGGAACGTTGTCCATGGGGTCGCGATGGGTCGGACACGACTTCGCAATTAACAACAACAACATACCTTCATCCTAATTTCTCTTTACCTCATTGTTTTCTGTTCTGCCAGTTTATGAAAACCTTGGGATATTTCAATCATCTAACAAAATAGATTTTAGTCCACAAAACTCATAATAAAAGAGTCTATATAAAATTGGTATTCAAAAGTATGTAATGAGATTGGAACTAAATATTTTGCCTTAAGTCTTAATGTAAAGATGTATTACATTTTTTCGGGTATAAGACGCTATTTTTTCCTGCAAACACCCTGTTCAAAAATCAGGTGCGTCTTATACAAGTGCAGCTTCTTATACATGGAAAAATAATGGTGACCTCCGCAGCCCGGGGCATGCCTTTGTGGATTGCCATGCCGCCTGGTGCAGGTGTCAAGCCCCTGTGGGCTTGGCATTAGTGGGGGGGGGGGAGGGGGCAAGATCGTCAGCTGGCCAAACTTCCAGATTTGCCGGCTCAGCTGTTCAGCGCTCCACCAAACAGCTGCTCGGTGCAGAGAAACGCCTATACCAGAGCATCTTATACAAGGGTGCATCTTATAGATGGAAAAATATGGTAGTTTATAATATACGATACAATGAAAATACAAAAGTAAATAGCGGAAAATATGGGGAAGGTAAAAAGGAGTAGGGAAGTGAGGCATTGACTTCCAACTTCCTTTGGTGTATAAAGTCGAGTGCCAACTTCAAACCTCAACTTTTTACTTTTACAAAATAATATAAATTAGCAATTTCGATAACATCAACATCATAACATCAAGTCTTATCTAATTGGTAAAACCCAAAATTAAAATTTCATTTTTTCCACCTCAAACATAAAGTCTAGAAGTGGTTTCCGTGTAGCAATAAAGTATTTGTATTCTTTTCTTTAATCAGTACAATCAGTTTAGCCATCTCTGCTAGCTCCATCAGTTTTTGTAACTATCCTCCATTTTGGGAATCAATGCAGTCTTCCATTTCTTGCTGCTGTCAACATATATAATATCAAAGTTCCATATTTTTTCCCAGGTCTTTATCCATTAGCCCCAAGAGAAAAGTCTCTGGTTTTCTTTCTATATTCACTTTAGAAATTTTCTGTATTAACATTTGAATCCTACTCCAAGATTTTGTTCCTTTATCACACGTCCACCATAAATGGTAAAAAGTCCCCTCTTTACTTTTATTCATTTGAAATATCTTTATACTTGTTTGATAACTTGTCTGGCGTTAAGTGCCAATGGTACATCATCTTGTAAAAATTTTCTTTTAAATTATAATTTAATGTAAATTTTAATCCTTTATTCCACATATTTTCCCATTGTTCAAGCATAATATACTCAAAATTCCTTGCCCACTGAATCATACTTTGTTTTACTTGTTCATTTTCCAGATTTAAATTCAATATCATTTTATAAACTGTAGCAGTATGTTCATCACTATCGCACAGTAAGATTTCCAATTTTTAACAAAATTAAACCAATGATTCTTTTTATCTAACTTAAATCTTTGCTTCAACTGCATGTTTGTAAACCAATGGCAAACATGACATGATTCTAGCTCCTCCTTGGATTAGAGGGTAGATTCACCCAAATTAAAAGATATTTTACCATAGGTCCACCAATTTGACCTCATTACCATCTCTTTTCTAAAAAAAAGCTTCTTGTGGGGAAACCCAAAGTGGCATCTTCATATAGAACCTTGTTTTATATTTATTCCAAACTCTCAAAATGGCACGCCTAGTAAAATGATTATTAAAATCAACATTTACTTTGTCATACCATAGGTAACCATGCCAACTAAACCTTAATTCATGGCCTTCTAGGCTAGTATACAGTCCTTTACCATTTCTCCTTATGTAAAATAGATTCATTTAATCTCCATCTATAACTCAATACTTTTATAAGGACCAAAACAATTGGGTTATGGTCAGAAAAAGATTTAGGTAAGATATCAACTTTCAAAATTCTATTTGCTAAGTTTTTCGAGGTCCACATCATATTGATTCGAGAAAGATTTGTGCCTTTTTGAAAAAAAGGTATATTGTCTTGCAGAGACATTTTTATGTCTCCATGAGTCTATTAGCATTAAACTGTCCATCATTTCAAAAAATATTTTTGATAGTTTGCCCTGAGATGGTTTGATCCCTTTCGTAGATGTTCTATCCCAAAGTGGCAAAGTCACTCCATTCCAATCCCCCAGCATAAGCCAATTTTCATATGAAAAAGGCAAGAGTTGGTTCATAAGATACTAAAAAAAATGGCTTCTCCCCCTCATTTGGCGCATATAGACCAATCTCTATTGATTTTACTCCCATTAAATTCAATTTGCACAATTATGAATCTACAGTATTTATCTGATTAAAAAAAGCCTAGGTTTAAATTGGGGGTTTATATATAGAGCCACTCCATTCACAGGCTCCATCATCTGATACCCATTTTTACCCACTTTTCTTCTAGAGGAGTTGATTGTTTCTTGCAATCAATATATTTAATTTAAATAAAGTCTATTAAAGTTCAAGCCATACTGAATGTGTTTCTTTTCCATCTGATATTTTGCTCTTTGGTTCTTCTCGAGCAAAAGTTTGAACTCCAACCAAAACAAATGCAAATGGTTGCAGAATATTTTGAATACCGCAAAGCTCATAGAAAATGATATAAAAGCAAGGGGCCGTAAGCAGGAAACAAAATTTATACAATATATATGTTTGTTTTGCCTTATGTTTGCAAATCTAATGTAGATTAATGTTCCCTTTGTGTTTTCAGCAATCTTGTTTTGATTCTATTTTGGGATATATAAAACAGCTTACTATTAAATGATATAATTAGAATGATATTGGAGAAAGATTTATTTTCTTAGGATTATTCTCATTTTAACCAAGTACAGGACTCTGACCTCGAGTTTTCTACAAGTACCTTGTTATGAGGAATGGAGATCAGTTAATCTAATTAATGCCTTTCTGAAACGGACTTAAATGTCTTCGTGGAGGCCAGAATTAACAGCATAAAAGCGATGGCGCTACAAAAATACACCTTATCTGCCGCGGAGACCATCGCGCGCAGCTCTTCCAGGAGGTCAAGGCTGGGAACGTGAGCTACCTCCAGACAGGTGTGAGGGCGGAGCTTCTGTTTGCCCGCGTCTGAGCAAACTCTACGCCAGAAGCAGAAGGTGGCGTCTACGCCCTTAAAAGGGAATTTTTTGAAAGAATTATTTCAGGCAGGTGGGAATTAGTTGCCTTGAGTTTCGTAGGATAAACTACAACAGCTCCTTTGAAAATATATTCTGTTAGGTATTTAGTGCTCCGTTCCGAGAAAAAAGGTAGAATTTTGTAGGTATTTTGGAAGTCCCGCGGAGATATTCTAGCATTGCTGCAGAAAGGAAAAAAATGCAAAGGGCTGCAGGGTGGGTTTTTTTTTTTCCTTGAAATTTGGTTCCGGATGCATCCTCCGTGTGCAGATCAAGAGAGTGGAAACTGTGGCTGACATCGAATAAGTAATAAGAATGATCATGTGGGAGATTCCACTTTGCCACGTGCCGTGTGTTCAGAGTCGTGCAAAAGGAATTCAATAAATGGTTTTATTTCCCTTCATAATCTCTTTAAAGTGGCGTGCACTTAAAAAAATCTCACGCTGGTTTGCCAATCAAGTGAATAATTCAGCAATTACATCTTTTATCCATTCAATGTATCTAATTTTTAAAGATACAATTGAAACTCCGGGTAGTAGCTCTATGAAAATAAGCATCATAAAATCAAAACGAACGTTGCCTGGGAGACGATTAGTAGTTATGTTGCTTTTAAAGGCATTAGAGATTTGTCGATGCGCAAATACAAAAGGGCTTTTAAAAAATTGTCCTAGTTTTTCTACCCGAACTTCTCTGAATAAAGTTAAGCAGGGTCAGATCTGCTTATTACTTGTACAGATGGCCACGAAGAAAACCGACAGCTGTCAGCTAGACTGAGGAATCGGAAAGACATCCCGGAAGCTTGGTTTTGGTTTTGGCACACGCGCGTAGCAGAAGCTTTCCCTTTCCAATTCGTTTTCGCAAGAACTTTTTCACCCAACTTACTATTCGGAACCGGAAGTGAGGACAGTGCTCTAGAATTCTATGCAAACAATGTTCCACTAGCTGCGACTGAAGGAATTAACAACATAGGGCGCTCTAGAGCTCTCTACCTCAGTGGTTGAATGTTGGTAGTGGGCGGTGCATCGTGATCCGCTCTGCCCCTTTCTGTCGATGGTGTGGGAAGTCCCGGAAGCGTAGCCGGGACTGTTGGCGATGATGGCGGAGAGTCCGGCTGCTGAGGAGGTAGCTTCGGCCGCGGTACTGGCGGCCCCGGCAGGCGGAGGGCCGGGATCCGGAGCGGGTGGCGGAGGCACGGGCGTCTTCCTACCAGCCGAACTCTGGGCGGTAGCGGGATTGGGTTCGGCAGGAGGCGGGTCTGGAGCAGGATCCGGAGTCGGTTCTGCAGGAGCCCCAGTGCCTGGGATTCCCCCTGCCGCCGCCGCCGCCGCTGCCGGAGTGCTCCTTTCACATTCGGCCTTTTGGGACCCCACGACTAGTGGTGATTGGGACGGAGAGAGACCGAGCTCTGCCTGCCTACTCCGTATCAAACGGTAAGGAGCTCCGGAAAACGAAAGAAGGAAGTAAATGTTAGTAATCCCGGTCTTTCCATTAAAGAATTTAGCCAATATCTGGCAAAACGCGAATTATTAAGAAAGGGCATATTATTTCTGAGCATGTGCAGAGTGCTTAGTTCTCCACTCAAGCATTTCGGTTTGTGCCCTGTATTTCAGGATGAGCTGGGTTCATGCTTCCACTGTTCAGTCTTGTTTTAAGTATTATTTTATATTCCTGCTGGTGATAGATTGAGGCATTGGGCAACTTCATCTGTTTCATTCCTGCATTTTCTTGTAAAAATACAAATCTCTAAACTATTAAATACAAATGGAATAAGCTTCTGATACAAAAGCCTTATCGTTTCCTATCACTCAGCAATTCCCAGAGTTCCTGAACACAAAAATCCAAAGTCATTTGAACCTTAATGAAGACACTGAACAAAAATTGCTTTCATTGTAAATCTGACTTCCTTATTTTGCATCAGAAAGCAATTGGTATTTAACATATTTACAGCTTAAGTTAAATTTCTACTAATGAGTAGACTCAAAGAATATGTTTTGTGTATTTATAGCTATCCAAGGAAGGAGAATTCTGAGCAGTGCTATATATTTGATTACATATCACTTTGTAGTCTTTTCTGTATGCTTTTTGTCTTGCATCAACAGCTTTTAAAGGCAGGCAATGGGTATTATTTTGTTGTGGAGGTTATTACCCAAGGGCATATGTTGAATTGATAATAGAAATAGATCTGCATTCAAGCCTCCAGTTGATTTCTTTTGTGTACTGGTATTTTATTGTACATGTTTATTGTACTTATTGTTTGTGGAGTTCTTATTCAAATATTGCTTGATAGAAAACAAATTTATCTGTTTAAAAGATACCCAACATATATATCCAGGTGTAGCTGAAGGGTACAGATGAAGATTTTTTGAGCTTATAGTCTCTTTTTTTAATTAATCTTATTAGATCATGTCAAAAAGTGCAGTAAAAGGGAAGTTCTTTCGGTTATTTGCCCAAATGCTAGTTAACATATTCCTTAGCACAAACAAGGCCACAGGTTGAATCTTTGCCTGGGCAGTTAGGTGAGACTTGCAGGGGAGATTCTGAAAACCAGAAAAGCTGCAGGGGGAGGGTTGTCTTTGATGCTCTCTAAGGTTGGTTGTTTTCTTGCAGATGCTTCATTACCCAACAGCTGCTAAGCAAAGTTTACTAGGTAGCTGGTTTTATGTGTCCTCATATAATTAAAGCACACCTTTATTTTAAAGCAAAAAAGTGAGGACTAGCTATAAAGGAGTTTGAGGTTATTCCCATAATTAAACATATAAATACTTCAAAAGTGGTTAACTGCAGTTTTATGTAACCACAGCAACAAAAGTTATATTGTTGGAACAAATACAAGTGCATCAAAGTGAAAGTCAACTTGCAGGAGTATTTCTCAGAAGTTTGACTGAATGCCTAGCCCTAGAGGAATTTTGGCTGCTATTTTCAGGCAAAACTATTGTTGTTTTAAAGCACTATTGATATATATATTTGTATATTTGGGGAACGCAAGGTCACTATGCTCATTTTTCAGTTTATTTCATGCTTTAGTGAGAAGAAAGTAGTAATAAGTAAGTTGGTGGGCAGCAACTTTCAAAATAGCTTATCAATACAGACACTTTTGTTGATAAATGTATGCTGACAGATTGAGGGATGAGGGAACAGTTCCTTATGGACAGGTGTGGGCTGTGATAAGTTATTTCATGTTATGTTCTCCCCCTCTTCATGGGAGGTCTCTTTTCCTCTCATTGTATTTTATACTTATGTGATATAAGAAGAGATGTGATTAATAAATTGCAAATAAGCAGAAACAATTTACTAATTAACATGAGATACTGTATGACAAGCAGAAGTCTAAATTATAGATGATTCTTAAATTTAGGTCAAAGTTATTTATTTTGGGCAATGTTTGGACTTTGGACATATTTTAATTTTTTTTTTCATTTTTAAGTAAGATTATTTGTCAGTAATTTAAGAGAAAACTTAATGGATTGCAAAATACAGAAATATATTTGTATTTCTTTCCTAGAGATATCATGTCAATATATAAGGAACCTCCTCCTGGAATGTTTGTCGTTCCTGACCCCCATGATATGACCAAGGTAGGTGGTATTCAAGTGCTCTGTAATCTTACTAAAAGTTTTAAAGAAATACTTCATAATATAACGACTTGGCGTATGTGCACTTGACATTATTGGAAAAACTGCTGTAAATAGCAAAATGAGATTAATTGATTGCAATATCACCTTAAGAAACTTTTAGTAATGCCCAGCTCATATTGTGTTTATATTGAGAAATTAGTTGAAATGAGGCAAAATAAACGTACTGATAGTATTTTAAAAAAAGTAGTATATATATTTGGATCTCTACTCCTAATATTTTTTTATATTGCTGTGTAAAATATAAAGCAAAGTTCTGCCTTTCAGGTTTGCAGTCAAAAAGACAAGTGGGTTAGGAAATTGGTGGTAAGGAGAAGATGAAATAATTAAAAGGTGTTTATATAGAAATAGAACTCAGCTATTTTTTCTTTTGGTATTGATCTTTAGGAAGACATGTTAGTCTTGTATCCTTGATTTTTTTTTAGTCACAAAATATGGTGTGTTTATGAAAGAAAAAGGCTGAGGCATGGAGACACCATTTTTTAAAATTCATGAACGTGTTAAAAACACTACAAAGATTTCCTTTGATTTGAGTTCCTTACAGAAAAAAAATAATTCTACAAGTCCCTTGAATTGTATGCTATTCATATATGTCCAATGATCTACTGATGCAATTCTACAGAGGAATTATTGTATCTGTCATTTGTACTTCAGTAACTGTCTGGTTTGGCACAGCAACCAAACAGGGCAGGTACAGACTTCAACAAATAGTTAGGAGCGCAGAAAAAACAATCACAATCAGCCTGCCTTCCATTGAGAATCTGTATAATACAGAAAGAGGGCTGAGAAAATATCTACAGACCTCTCACATCCTGATCATAATCAAATGCCACTATAGAGCATTGCATGCCAAAATAACTACTAGACCCAGAGAGTTTTTTTCCCCATGCTATCACTCTGCTGAACACTTAATTCCCACACCCCTGCCTCATTTCTCATCTTTTCTCATCTTCGCATCTTTCCTACTATTTCCTACTATCTTCTCCTATGATTTATCAATTGTTGTTTGTAACTTACGATTAATGATTGTAACAAAGATTTATAATCTATGGCCTATTACTGGGTGTTTATATGTACATCATGACCTTATGCAGCAGAGACAAATTTCTTCTGTGTCCAATCACACTTGGCCAGTAAAGAATTCTATGCTGTGCTATGCTATGCACCGTGATGGTGCAGTGGTTAGAATGCAGTATTGCAAGCTAATTCTGCTGACTGTGATTGCCAGAAGTTCAGCAGTTCAAGTCTCACTGGCTCAAGGTTGACTCAGACTTCCATCCTTCCAAGATCAGTAAAACGAGGACCCAGATTGTTGGGGGCAACATGCAGACTTTGTAAACCACTTAGAGAAGGCTGTAAAGCACTATGAAGTGGTATATATGGCTTTTTGTTACTGCTGTTGCTATTGCTATTCCATTCTGCTAGATTAAGCCATGTAACAGATGAAATTTTATCAAATACTCTAAGCATTGCCATTAGAACTGCAAAGTAAATAATCTGTGAAACTAATTAATTTGGAATTATAAATACATAAAATAAAATAGGTAGTGGTAAATCTAAGGAAATAGCACTTATTTAGTGCAATTGTGTACTGCCTTTCACTCCAAAAGTTCTTTGTTGTACAATAGTTTCCCTCCCATTTTTCCCTTCAAAAATGCCCTAGGAGGGAAATTTGGCCAACAGTGTTTAATGAGCCTCTATATCCTAACAAAAGTATGATCAAAAGATTGTTACAGTCCATTGTTTTAAACACTGGACATTGAGTTTCAGCACTAGAGAAAATATTCTTTTTTTGATATGCCTGTAGTTATAACAGATGACTAGTAAAAAAAATTTCCATCTCTGGGTTTTCCCAGATTAAGACTAAGAATAGGCAGCAAGCCTCAATCTAACCTTTGCTGACAGTATGTATTTTTTATTTATTCACACATTTTTATAGAGTCAAATAATGATCAGTTCACCAGTTAGTTATAATAATTGATCTTATAACTGAATAGTGTGTCAATCCAAAGTTGATATATAACCCTAAGGATCCCTTGGAAATTGAAATTCTCATTGAGACACCCCTATATGAATTTGTGACATTTTACTAAGCATTTGGATTTCAAGCAAATTTGTAATTTAAGTAAATGTTTATTTACTTAAAATATATGTTATCCCATTTTTCATTCAGACAGGTTTCCAGTGCAATTGATAACAATTAATACATTGCTTTTTCAATGTAAAGTCTTGCTAAATTAACTAGCAGGGATGGAAACGATCCTTTCACATTTCAAAATCAGACCTCAGTGTGGTACCTGTAAACAATCCAGTGAGAATGGCCCTAATGCAGCCAGAAGTTAAACCTTTGCAACGACCATCTTATTTGATGAAATTCCTTCCAAACAAAATTTAGGGCACATAGGGCAGTTGCAGCTGATGGAGGGAAAATATGGAGTCCAAAATTAAAATAATGTAACTGGTGAAGGTACAGTGGAACCACATTAAAAGACATGCAGTAAATAAAATAGGTGAAGTAAAACAGTTTTAAAATTCCATTTAAAAGCAAAGATAGAATAAAATTTGTTTAATTTCAATGGGAATTCTGCAGATTATGTCATTATGTCTTGTGCTTGCCAGCTAACAGGAACCTACAAACAGAGTCACTTGATTGATCTTTATAGTTAGACAGATTCATATAAAGGATGTATGGCTGTGAAAGTTGGACCATAAGAAAGGCTGAGCGGCAAAGAATTGAGGCCTTTGAACTATGGTGCTGGAGAAGACTCCTGCGAGTCCCCTGGACTGCAAGGTGATCAAATCGGTCAGTCCTAGAAGAGATCAACCCCAACTGCTCTTTAGAAGGCCAGATCCTGAAGTTGAAACTCAAATACTTTGGCCACCTAATGAGAAGGAAGGACTCACTGGAGAAGGGCCTAATGCTGGGAAAGATTGAGGGCAATAGAAGAATGGGATGACAGAGAATGAGATGGCTGGATGGAGTCACTGAAGCAGTAGGTATGAACTTAAATGGACTCCAGAAGATGGTAGAGGACAGGAAGACCTGGAGGAACGTTGTCCATGGGGTCGCGATGGGTTGGACACGACTTCGCAATTAACAACAACAACAACAATATAGAGGAGGCGAATCCTTCATATGTTCCCAATCCATTTAGGGCAGACATGTCAAATACAAGGCCCGGGGGTCGGATGCAGCCCGTGAAGTGGTTTCATGTGGCCCGCAAAACCATTCTGGAAACAGTGAGGGAACAGCCCCCGCTGCTTTGGCCCAGGCCGGCCGGGAGCCAATGTACAATTTTGTGGTGGCCATCTATGCTGAAATGCATTCAGTCTTAGCTTCACAAAGCCATCCAGAAACAGCGAGGAACCAGACTCTGCCGCATTGGCCCCGCCCCCTGTGTGCATGCTGGGGAGGTGTCACCCTTTGTGAGGAATGAAGAAATGCACCATGCCTTGGTGCTTGCCCTGGTCCCACCTCCTTCTGCCAGAGACCCTCAGATCTGTCCCACTCCTGTCCAGTCCCCTACAAGCACCCTTGATGCGAACGATGTAGAGCTGGCCATGCTCACCCAGTAGGCCACACCATACACGCCCACCCAGTAGGCAAAACCCACCCTGGCCACAGCCCCCCGGCCCCCCAAGGGCAACCGCAATGCTGATGCGGCCCTCAATGAAATTGAGTTTGACATCCCTGATTTAGGGCTTTAAAGATCAAAATGATCAATTTAATTTAATTATAGGTAGTCCTTGGGACAATAATTGGAAATTCTGGTCACTAAGCAATACAGTCTTAAGGTGAAAGGCCATGTGACTGAGCAACTGTAATCCTAGTAATTACTGTTGCCATCCTTAAGCAAATTTTACCATTGTTAGCCAAGGATCCACTCCAATCCATTTCAGGCTTGTAAGATAAGGGAATGCCTCTACTCACTATACCCACCTGTCCCCCCCCCCATTTCTGTCCTTTTGGCCTCCCTGCATCCTGTTTTTCATGGTGGCAATTGGCACCCAAACTGAATGGTTTTGGAGCTGCCAACCATGCCTCGGAAGCCCACTCTCAGTTGACCTTGTTATCCTGAACTCTAACAGCCCTGCCATCTTACACTCTGCCACACCATCTTCTTGTTCCTACTGCTGGTGAGGCTGGGCTGGGCCAAACTGGGGCTGGCTTCATGCTGTAAAACATGAAAAAAGGCCTTTTCCTTCTTTTTTGCAGCATGAAACCAGTTCCAGTCTGGTCCAGCAGCTAGCCATATCTCAACAGCGAGAGCAAGAAGATGGTGAAAGTCAGCTGGGGTGACGGAGTGGTGGATGGCAGGGGGCCAAAATGATATAGATGGGGGAGATAGGCAAGTGGGGAAGTTGCAGTGCTCTTGCAGTCGTAAGCACATGTGGGCTGCAAAGTTCCCAATTTTAATTATGATTGTGAGGGTGCAGCAACCACCATAACATCTGGCATGCAGTGCTTTGAACAGTCGGTAAATGAATAGTTGTAAGTCAAGGATTACCTTTAAGAAAAATAGAAGAAGCTGGAGAAGTTGTTATGGAAGTCTCCACTGCATTGCAAAGCAATAATATTTTTCATCGCTTCAACTAAACAAGTAGTAATGAAATCTGAGACTTGTACCATTTAAAGAAGTGTTTGAGTTTTTTTCTGACTGCTTGCAGAGAACTTCTTTGCCTCCCCGATTTGTGCACTAGGCAGGTGCTGTCACTGATGCTTCCATCAGAAGTGTTTGCGCAAGCCTGGGCTTTTCTCTTGCAGATTCATGCGTTGATCACAGGCCCCTTTGACACGCCTTACGAAGGGGGTTTCTTCTTGTTCCTGTTTCGCTGTCCTCCAGATTATCCTATCCATCCACCGCGGGTCAAACTGATGACAACTGGGAATAATACAGTGAGATTTAATCCTAACTTCTACCGAAATGGGAAGGTCTGCCTCAGTATTCTAGGGTAAGGACCCATTCCGCTCAAGCTCTTTTCCAGGGGAAGTCCAGGTGGGTGCTTTGGAAAGGCTTATATGCAGTTCTTTTCTCAAGGACTATATATGAATGTGTGTTTTTCAAAAGAATAGGGCAGAGGGGAAGCATGCGAATTATAGTACAATGGGACAAAATCACATAACTGCAAACCATCTCTGACCACAAGCTGATGTTATCATTTTAATGTAGAGGCAAACCTGGGGCAATTAAATTTGCCTACTTTTTTTCTACAGCTTTTGATCAACTTTGTGCACTCCCAGTCTTATGCCAGAGACAGTGGTACACAGGGTCAATAGAACTTCTTTTAACTTTTTAGGCTGCTATTTTTTTTTCAATCCATCAATAAATAGTGTGAAACTTTTCTGTATGTTTGTTGGAATGTATGTATATGTTTGGTATATACATATAGAAAGAACGCACATATACAAAAAAATGTTTGTGTAACCACAAAGAAATTCCTTTGAAAGATTGCTCCATATTCCTGTGTGCCATCTGTTTCTAGTTACTTGCAGTTGTGTGGATCCGGTAGAGAAGAAGGCTATTTTCTATTTGTATGGATGCTTCAATACTATTTTTTTCCTTTTTAAAGAAAAAAAAGATAAACTAGTTAAATGGAGATAAAGGAATCAAAAATGGTTGCTGTTATAACTATTAACTTTGTGACTCCTTCTAGCAATACCATGTCTGTATCAGTTTCAAACAAGCAAGGTATATCTGGAGAAGCTTTGTTTGAATATTCCAAAGCTAACTACAGGCAGTACTGTAAATAGGACTGGAAACTCCCTTCCTAAGCAACGTGGTCATAATATGACATCATATGACCACACTCTCAAGGGCAGTTTCATTTGCTGTTATTAGGCAAACTGCACATGGCCGTTAGGCATGATGTCATGTGATCACTATTTGTGACCTGCTGACTTTCATTGCCTTTACTTGTGAAAAACTGGCAGTAAAAGTTTGCAAATGGCAATCAGATGACTTTAGGATGCTGTGATATCATAATTGTTAGCTGGTTGCCAAGCTCCTGAATCATGATTGCATGATGGCCACATCTGGTCATAAGTCTCATTCAGTACTACTATAACTTTGAACAGTTGCTAAATGTGGACTGCCTGTAATTGCTTTCTGTAGAGTGTTTATTAATCCACAAGCATAGCTACATTTGTAAGCTTTTTATTTTGTTAATGGTTTTGTTATGTGAAATAGAATGTATCAATTCACAAATCTCTTAGGACTCCAAACCCTATTGAAACCCAGATCAATCCTTGTACCGTAGAATATCTAGTGTGGAAAGCAGCGTTTCCTAAGGGCTGTAAATTCAGCCAAAGGAATGACAAAAAATTGATGTCTTTTTCAAAAAGGAGCTCTGCACATCCAACAAGATATTTTGTGCCTAGAGCCAATTTTTATAATCATGGTAAATTTAGTCTTGACTTAAACTTTGGTCAAATTCAAGTAAAAAAAACCAGAACGTTCAGCATTCCAATTGGGCTGCCAGGTTTCAATTGCTGTAGTATCCAGATGGATCAAGATATAGAACAGTGGTTCTCAACCTTTCTAATGCCGCGATCCCATAATACAGTTCCCCATGTTGTGGTGACCCCCAACCACTTATAAATCACCGGGTGCCAGGGGCATGGCCAAAGAAAAGGGGGAAAAATGGTGGACAGCCTTGTTTGGCGACCCCCGTGAAATGGTCGTTTGACCCCAAATGGGGTCCCGACCCACAGGTTGAGAACCACTGATATAGAGCATGTCTGCATCACATGGGATTGTGGGCTGCTGCCCTAGATGTATGGTTGCATACTATCTATAACACTGCTGCCTATCTGGGGCTATTACCTGACCTTCACGTTCCTCTTTAAGAAATCTGTATACTGTTATTTTTCAACCAAAATGGTTTTTGACAGTAGGTTGTTGCCAAAAAATGGTTCACAGCAAGAACTAGGGGCTCTGGATACTAACTTGTCTGGGGATTTTCTGTACTTATAAAGAGAGAAGGGAAATAAACAATAACACTCTTGGGATGGCTTGGTGGCACATCATACTGATATGACTTGATCATAACTTTAGATAGTAGAACTTCTGCTAAGGGTAATTTTAGGGAAGACAGGGTCTCTTATAGACTGTACTTAGAGATGGTGTGATGACTCCAGATAGGTAATCCTTGCTTACTTATGTGCTGACCATTGAGTGTTTTCTATAGTGCCCCAGCCAGCTTCTGTACTACTGTATCATAAAAACAAAAGCATTCCAGCTAACAATTATTAAGATACTGAATTCTTTGCCTGCTCTAAACATTAGCATATATTATAGTGCTTTTCTGAGATTGTATATCAGATCTAATCTCTACACTGGGTTGATAACCGGCAATCCTAAATTTGATACATTTACATTCCAGGATTTTGAAGGAACTGGCAGATGTAATTTCGGGGCCACTAAAAATATAGCAGAGGTCCCCAACCCTGGGCCGCTGCCCACTACTGGGCCATGGCCTATTTGGAACTGGGCTGCGCAAGTGGCAGGCAGACATGCGTGAACACATAACTCAGCTTGCACAAGTCAAGCTGCATGTGCTGTGTACTGGCCTAATGCTCACACAAGTTGAGCTGTGTGCACTGGCCTGCCAGTTGCATACGTTAAGCTGTGCGGCATACCCTCCAACCCACTGCTCACGTGGCTTGGTTCCCCTTTCCCCCCCTGCTGGACTACCAAGCCGCAAAGGTTGGAGACTACTGGAATTCTGTATAGTCTTTCAAAGATCATGTAGCATAGGGCAGAGGTCCCCAATCCCAGGCCATGGCCCATTAGAGGAACTGGACCACATGAGCAGCAGGCAGTTTGACTTGCACCAGTGGTGGGCTCACGTGCATGTACATGCGTGCACAGCTCAACTTACCCAAGTTGAGCTGCGTGTACATGCATGTGCACACCAGCCCACTGCTCATGCAAGTTGGGCTGAAAACTGCAAAGATTGGGGACCACTGATATAGGGAAAATATCAGAAGACTGAAAAAGAGCTGCTAAGGTTCTAACCTACAAAAAGGGGGTAAAGTGGATCCAGGAAATTATAGGCCAATCAGCTTGAAATCAATATTTGGGGAAATCCTGTAAAAGATAATGAGCCAGAGGATTTGTGAACACCTAGAAACAAACAAGGTGATTACTAGAAGCCAACATGGGTTTCTTAAAACAGATCATGCCAGAAAAGTCTTATTGCCTTTTTTGATACAATAACTACATTAGTGGATCAGCCACGTGCTGATTGGACTTCAGCAAAGCATTTGACAAAGTAGAGAACAATCTACTTTTTGGTAAGATAGAACAATTTGAGCAGACAATATCACCATCAGATGGATTCACAGTTGATTGACCAACTACACTCAGTGGGTAATCCTCAGCTTAACTACATTTACTGGAGGGAAGCATGCAGTAGGGTACTTCAAGATTCAATCTTGGATCCAGGACTCTTAAACTTCTTCATAAATTAACTAGATGAAGAGATAAAAGAGAAACTTATTTTCAGAGAACACCAAGCTGGGGGAATAACCAACACTTTAGAAGACAGGCTCAAAATCTGGAAGGATCTTTACAGACTTGAACATTGGACCTGTTCCAACAAGATGCAATTCTGTGATGAGAAAAGTAAGGTCCTGCACTTAGACAGGAAAACCCAAATGTATAGGTACAGAAAAGTGGTACGTGGCTTAATAGTAATAACAGAGAGTGCTGCTGAGACCACATTTACGAATGAAGACAAATATAAGTGCCCAAGAATAATGTTGCAGGATCCAATCTAACCTTCCAAGCTCCAACACAAGTCTGAAAGCTTGGAAGACTCGGAAAACCTGTGGTCCCAGTGACCGACCCAGATTGGATTCTGCAGACCACACTTGGAATACGGCATCTAGTACTGGTCACCACAATATAAAAAAGATGTTGAGACTCTGGACAGTTTGCAGAGAAGAGCAACAATGATAAAGGGTCTGGAGGCTAAATCGTATGACAAAAGTTGAGGAGCTATGTATGTCTAGCCTATTGAAGAAAAGGATTGGGAGGGGGAGACATGATAGTTGTCTTGCAGGACTGTCACAAAGAAAAGGGGATTGGCTTATTCTCTAGGGCACCAGAAATAATGGGTAGAAGCTGTTAAAGAGAGAGCCAACCTAAAAGTAAGGAGAAATTTTCTGACACTGAGAGCAATTAATGGGTGGAATAGCTTGCCCCCTGGTGTTGGAGGTTTTCAAGAATAGATTGGACAACCATTTGATTGGGATGGTATAAGAGTCTTGTCTTGAACATGGGGCTGTGCTAGAGGTCCTTCTAGTCCTAGGATACTATGAATATGGCCTTAGGCCTAATTACAGAAGACTTTGGCAATTAGTTCAGATCTGTGGTAATGTATCGTTTCCAAACAGCTCAGAAAAGTCAGAGAAGAGGAGGCACACAACACATTAAGATCTAACCTTACTTGTTGCTGACTTTGGACAACTTATGGGCAATAATCTTCCCCAGAGATGGTCTTTTCTGATTAGGGCTATATTATCTCAGGTTACTACATTGATCAGTGCCTATTAGTAAGTTGTCCAAAGTCAGCAACTGGTAAGACTAGACATTATTGCTGGACAACGTATATTGATCTTTAATAGTGTTTTTCTTCTTCATGCTGTTAGACATTTCATGAATGTAATATTTTTCTTCTTTGTTTCTAAGTCTTGACAGTCTTCAGTTTGACTTATCATTTTGTGGACCGAGATACAATACCGTAAATGCCGGCGTACAAGGCGACCCCTGTCTTTATAGCCGGGCCGCATTCCTAGAACGTCGTCTTATACGCCGGAAACTACCAGTATTTCCGGCGTATAAGACAACTCGGCGTATAAGACGATCCCCATCTTTGGCGCCGATTTCAGCGCTCGCGGAAGTCGCCTTATACGCCGGCATTTACGGTACTTCCAATTCAAGCAGAAAAAGGTATCTGAGTCTCTTGGAGCATTCATATAGCACTCATCTAGAACTCTTTATAATGAAGTGACATCTTTTCCCTGCATATCGTAGGTATCATTTACAGTGACCACATGATCCCAGTAAAAGGTACAACTGCTTAAAAACTTGTGGACAGATATTACCTATGTGTCCCTGAATGCTCTAAAGTACCTTTTTGTCCTTGAATCCCAGGAGTTATTTACCCCTACTAGAAAATGTCTTTTTTATTTAGCTGGATTCATAAATGTGACAAGCTGCATCAAAATACATTGAAGCCCCTGTGCATCCATTGAGAAATTATTTTGTGTTGGCACCTGTGGAAATAAGCTATTTGTTGTTGTTGTTTTTTTTGCTATCTCACAGCACATGGACTGGTCCAGCCTGGAGTCCTGCACAGAGCATTTCTTCGGTACTTATATCTATACAATCTTTAATGACTGAGAATCCCTATCACAATGAACCTGGCTTTGAACAGGTAAAGACCCCAATTTTGGATTATATCGTTAATGGGACACTTTTTCATTGGATAATTGAAAAGATTGGTGTAATTTGGACGGGATTGCCTTCCCTTTCCTGCTGTTGCATTGGCAGCTGATGCTGCCTTTCCGAGAGGTGCAGCAATTGGATAGCAGCCACATTACGAATTGGGATGGACCATCCCCCAAACCTCACCAATCCTCTCCATGGTGTGCTGCAGCTGATCTGAGGGGGCCAGTCAGGCACTGAAGTGCCACTGAAAACAGCGAGGCAGATGCGCACACAGACTCCGCTGCCAATACAGCAGCGGGAAAGGAAATCCCGCCCACCAGCTCAACCTGGTGGGGGTAGAAAACCAAGCGGCGCCAAAAACAGCGCTCGGAACCTCCAGGAGCTGCAAGAATCTGTGCACGCCCTTTGCAGTTGCCCTCCTGCAACATGCAGCTTCTCCCTGTAAGCAATCAGGCTCGCCCAGGGTCAGGTTGGCCATTGTCAGAGGTTTGTCCCACATGTGCGGCGGAGCTAGAGGACGGGGATGGGCTACGTCTCCTGGGACCGCCAACCTGATCCTGGGTGAGCTGGATTGTTTCAGCTGCGAGGAGCCTGGCCTAAGGTTTCCATCGCCCAGGCTTCCTGAAGGTGATGGGAATTGCAGCCAGCCCCGAAGTTGAACACACACGTAAAGCAATGGTGCGCCCCAAGTGAGGAAGCGGCATGAGCTTTGAGGGTGTGTCTGTATATCCATGGTTCATGTGCAGAATTCATACCGTGCCTTCCCATTGGCGTTCAAAGAGGCTAATTGTGGTAAATATAAATCATTTTTTTTGAAAAATAAAGGGACAGATTACAATATTGATGATGAATGTAAATGAAAAGGCAGTTTCCAAAGCCTTCCTCCCCACCAAGGGAAACCTGAGTCGCCTGTGGGGGGCACTGGCCAGGCTGGGCCTTGTGATGAAAAAATAAGACACCCCCCAAAAATAAGCCCTAATGGGTCTTTTGGACCAAACATAAATATAAGACCTGGGCTTATTTTTTGGGAAACACGGTACTTTCACTGTCAATTACATGACCAAAAAGGAGGATGGAGAAGGATTTAGAATCGAGGAACCATCAATGATGCAATTCAATATTGAACTATTATATGATAGAAATGCACTAGGGGAAATATTGCCTGCATTTTTTTCTCTACTTCTCATTTCCATTTTCAAACATAAAGAATACAAACGCGAAATACAAAGAGATCTGGCTAGGTAGTAAGATATATAGGACACCTAGATAGTCTTTTAAATCGAGATTCTGATCCCAGAAATAATGAGACTTCCAATTACGTATCTGCTTCCCAATTATAATTAAAGCCTATTATATTATGAGAGATATAAAGAATTATTAAAGAGTTCTGAACCTTCACAGGTTACTAAAGGACGAGGAACTTTTTTAAAAGTAAGGACTATGTTTCCATGGACCTTCATCAGTGGGATTGGAGCTAGATTGGAGTTAGCACCGAATGAATATTTTCTTTCAGCTTCAAAATCTTTCATATAGTAATATCAAAACTCACATTCTCAAATATTTTGGCCACCTACTGAGAAGAGAAGACTCATTGGAAAAGACCCTGATGTTGGAAAAGGCTGAAGGCAAAAGAAAAAGGAGATGGCAGAGTTCGGGAGACAGTGGAGGACAGGTGGGCCTGGCATGCTACAGCCCAGGGGGTCCCAAAGAGTCGGACACGACTTAGCGACTGACAACAAATGGAAGATTATATACTACTTTATAATTATTGTAAATATATATATATATTGACATATATTTTATTGTATCCAATTTTTATTTTTGTCGAATTATTTATTTATTTTCACATAGTTGGATTATTGGTGGTGAGGTATATTATGAATAATTCTTTTTCTGTTTGTTTGTATTATCCTAAATGGAGAGGTTCTCAGCAGTTATTGTTTTGTAGGAAAGGCATCCAGGAGACAGTAAAAATTACAATGAGTGCATCCGACATGAAACTATCCGCATCGCTGTATGTGACATGCTGGAAGGGAAATGCCCTTGTCCAGAACCTTTACGGTATGTTTGGAGAGACATCATTATTTAACTTTCAGATTCACTTTCTGTACTCCATTGAAAAACTCAGAAAATATATTTCCGAATGAAGCTTTGCTCATTTCTGGGAAAATTGGCAATATAATCTTCACCATTTGAATGTTCAAACTCCACTTTTTTATAGCCCTATAATTAATATTCTGAAAGATTCTGCATGCCACTCTAGAAAAACTTTGCAGTTTTATGATATGGTTTCTCAAGCCTTGTACCTTCCAGTTATGTTGAATGTTGGTTAAAGATGATGGCTGTTCTAGTTCAGCATAGTATGTACCAGATTGAGGAAGCCTGGCGTAAGTAAGTAATGAGATTGCAGTGTTTAGATATGGCAATTATTTTCTTTTTTTTCTTTGGTCAAGATGGGAGAAAGGATTGGGTTGAGACAAAAAGTTTGGAAGGGACCAAAGAAATCCCATCACTTAATGCCTGGTTTTTCAATAGGTGGTGTTTTTCCCCCTTTTTTATGAGTTTAAAAGTTCAAATAATTAGGATAGCCATATTCAGATTTCTTCTTCACAATCTTAGGCCTTTAGCACAGCTGTTTACTCTCTCTTTCACTCTCCAATCTTTTAATACAAATGTACTAATAACAAGTTCATTTTTAGTTTCCTAATGGCTGCACTAGAAGTTTCACTTTACCATATTGTGTTTCCATCCCCAAAGATTTAGAACAATTTATAGAATGTTTGAATGATTTATATATATTAAGGAATTTATCTATGAAATATAATTGTGATCCTTCACTGATAAAAGCATTGTCAATATATCAGTATTTTCCAACTAGTGCTTCCAGATGTTTTTACAATAGTCATGCTCGCTGGGAATTCTGAGTGTTGCAATATATCTGGAGCTCACTGGTTCAAGAAATGTTGGTGCAAGTTGTTTTCAGAGACTCACCTGAAAATGGGTTAATCAATGCAACTAATGCAATTAATGGGAAAAAGCAAAGTGTTCCACTGGTATTAGGCTAATTTAAAGTAACAGACTTTTCTTGAGACTATGACATTAACATATTTTTTCAAAATAAAATAAAAGCACAAATCAATCTGGACATGCATTCATTCCTAATTTATTAATCATGTAATTCTTCAAACCTAGCTCTTGACAAGTCTAAATCAGCTTGATTTGTTTTCTCTAAACAAGCAAAAAATAAATTGTTTTAGATATTCATATAGTAAAGAAGCAACACTGAAGGATGTAACAGTATGGATTTTATTTTTCTTCAAGTCAACTTTGGAGTAATGGACTAGCACAGCAGTTCTCAATCTGAGGGTCGCGACCCCTTTGGGGTCGGACAACCCTTTCACAGGGTCGCCTAAGACCATCAGAAAACACATATTTCCAATGGTCTTAGGAACCGAGACACCGCTCCTCTATCCCAGGGCTTTTCAACCGGGATACCGATCGAACATTCCAACGCCCATACGCTGGGAAACCAATCCGGGCACTGCAGCAGAAGCCGCAAACTCGGGGGAATCCCTGCCGCCGCCGGCAGAGCCAACTACAATGGAGCACTAACCAGCTGCTTGAACCAGGCACTGGCGGCCTCCTCGAGATGCCCCGCCCATCGGTGACATTGCCGTGCCACGTTCCGTGACACCAGGGAATCCCGGCCCTGCCGGAGCCAGCCACAATGGAGTGCCGGCCAGCTGCTTTAACCAGGCGCCGGCGGGCCATCCTAGGGTGTACTGGAGTCTTACACGCCGCCCGGTAGGGTGCCATCAGCTGTTCTTCCTGCATGGCATTTCTGGCGGCCGGCTGCATGGGCCCCTTCCCTCATAGGAATGTCGAGCCCATGGGGCTTGACAGCTACAATGGTGCCGCACACTCAGTAGCCACCTCTCAAGCACCACCCCCCGCCCGGCACTCATTGACCATTACGTGCTGTCGGGCGCAGCGCGGTCTCATTGGGCCGCGGCGGTAGCTCGAGGCAATCGCCGGTTCCTCGGCTCAGGCTGGCCGCCCATCAGAATCTACGTCCGGTGATTGGTTGGCTCCCTCATTGTGTCCCTCTCCCACAGAAAGGGCATGGCTCTTATGCAGGCTTGCCCCCTCACGGCCCTGCGCCTGGGGACCCCACTCCCTGAGAAGTGCAGCCAGAAAGTCCCTTTCCCGGGGAACCGCGCAATCCCGGTGCTACTGTAGGCCCCGCTGGCCGGGAAGGCGCACTGGAGTCCTAGCTCCCGGGAAGGTGATCAGCTCGCTCCTCTCCCATTGCCCGCCCTGCCCAGCTCGAGCCTGGCTGGAGCAGCATTGGTACTTCCAAAGGTAGTCGCTTTAAGGTTACACGGGCAGCCCTTGGCTACTCCCCTCCCCTCCGCACCTCCAAATTAATCCCCGATCGGAGAGAGGGAGGAGGGAGGGAGGAAGAGAGGGAGAGAAAGAGAGAGGGAGAGAGAAAGAAAGAGGGAGAAAGAGGAAGGGAGAGAGGGAGAGAAAGGGAGAGAAAGAGGTAGAGAGAAAGGAAGAGAGGGAGAAAGAGGGAGAGAGGAGAGAGAAAGAAAGAGGGAGAGCGAGAAAGAGGAAGGGAGAGAAAGGGAGAGAGAAATAGGGAGAGAGAAAGAGGGAAAGAAAGGGAGAAAGGGAGAGAGTGAAAGAGGAAGGGAGAGAGAAAGGGAGAGAGGGAGAGAAATAGGGAAAGAAAGAGGGAGAGATTAAATTAGTAACATGGTTCTTAAGCAAAATTACAGTTATGAAGTAGCAACGAAAATAATTTTATGGTTGGGGGTCACCACAACATGAACTGTATTAAAGGGTTGTGGCATTAGGAAGGTTGAGAACCACTGGACTAGCATATAGCAGCACACTTGCTTTAAATGATAAAATGAGATTCTCAGAATTCTGCCTGTTAATACAAATACAACTATAAATAGATATGGAGGTGATATTTTTTGAAAGAAATTATCTTTGCATAGTGAAAAAATCCTTACTGTTTTTACTCTTAGAGAAGAAAATAGTGGGGTCTATGTACAGTAGATACTTAGTTATATGTAATAAACATAAATGAAAGGCTAGTCTGCCCTTGCACCGCTGGACTTAGGAATAATATGCATAATGGGGGTACCTTGTTGAACAAACTGTTGTTTTGTGTCTGGGGTTTAAAAAAATAATTTTTAAAAAACTGGGCATTAACTTCTTGATGGGAAAAAATTGCTTTATTGCCAGTGGGTCTCATATTTTGTTGTTTCTTTTATGCTAGTGGAGTTATGGAGAAGTCCTTCATGGAATATTACGATTTTTATGAGGGGTTATGCAAAGAGAGGCTTCATCTCCAAGGACAGTCCATGCAGGTAAGAACAAGATAATGTGTCCATGTTGACTGAAATGGAAGATTTATTAAAAGACTAGCAATAATCAGGGATTAATTTCTTATCTTCTGATCTGAGAGAATAACTTTTTCATTCAGCAGAATTTTTTCTGAATAGGAATATGAAAATCTGAGTTGGAATTCTCATATTGTTCAGAGATGTTAGAGCAATGGGTGCTAGTATATTACAGTAGGCAGGAAATGATTATGAATAATGGAAGGCAATTTGAATCAATCTTGTTGGACAAAGATTTGTGTCTAAGTTGGGGAATTTTCTTTCTTTTATTTCATATACTTATTAAAAGGAAAACCAATCATTTCACTCACCAAATGTATTAATGGATAAAAATAAAATACAGGTCGTCTTTGACTTACAACAAATCATTTAGTGACCATTTGAAATTACAACAGTGCTGGAAAAAATGACTTATGACCATTTTTCACACTTAATGACCTTTGTAGCATCACCATGGTCATGTGATCAACTGGCATATATTTATGACGATAGCAATATCCCAGGATTATGCAATCACCTTTTATGACCTTCTGACAAGCAGTGTCAGTGGAGAAGCCAGATTCATTTAACAACCGTGTTACTAACTTAACAACTGCAGCGATTCACTTAACAACTGTGGCAAAAAAAGGTTGTAAAATTGGGCAAAACTTATTTAACTGTCTTGTTTAACGACATAAATTTTGGGCTGAATTGTGTCATAAGTTGAGGACTACCTGTATTAACAAAAAATGAACCTCTACAACTTATTGATTTCCCTCCGTGCATAAATAAGAAATAAAAATCTTTACCAAACAAAAATTAATTTCACAACTCTCATTGTCTGAATAAAAACGCCTTTGCTGGCCTAGATTAGCATGGTGTATGAGAAGCAAGAGCAGCCCTAAGAACACAATGTATTCCTCTCAGATGTCGCCCCAACATTGTGAAGGCAGATGGAAAGACCTGAAAACAGCAGTATCATAACTTCACAGAACATTTGATAACCTCACAAAACCTGTGGTATACTTGCCTCCAGGTGGAAAAGTAAAAAGGACTAAAAATAAATGTTTGCTTTTTCAAAAATGTCCGAACTTTAACATCTGCCACAAATTTGGGATACAAGATTTGAAGTATGCAATCAGCAAGCTTGCATGATGATCATATTTCTGGATTATGCTGCTCTAGTTTAAATGCTTCCCTAAATTAATATATATGTATATATATCAGACAGACAAAAAAAGCCAGTAAATAATAGAGAAGTGGTTTACAATAACTTTCTGTCTACTATCCTAATTTTCCATGTGTTTGGGAGGGTTTTTTAAAATATAAGTACTGTTAAGGATGTGATTCCCCATGTGTATTTGACTGGCACATTTTATCATTATGTTACTTTAAAATGCAGGATTGTTTCATTCAAGTGAAACAGGAATTATATAATTTCGGGAAAGTTTTTCTGCAAAGCAGATTTTGCAAAATTTGCCTGCTCTACAAAAAGAAATTAATTTTGAAACATAAGAGAATTTTATATGGGGCACCAAATCCCTGCTTATGGGTTCTAGGGCTGGACTGTTAAATGATAGTGGTGTGATAGTTGAAAATTAGTGGTTCTTTCCAACAGTTTTGAAGAATAAACACAGAAGTGTAACATTTGCCTGAAAATTAGTTTATCTCCTTTTCCAAGAGAGAAAAAACCCACTTCCTAAAAAATATCAGGAAAAAAAAATCTCAAGGATCACGGCCCCATATATGTGACATGAATGTTCCTATTTTGGACCATTACTTTTGCTCTCCCCACCTTATGTAAAACATGAACCTGTGTGCACCAAAAAGGTTGCTCAGTCCATATAAAAAATCCAATCACTGAATTTTTCTGGCATTAATAAGCTTGTTTAGAGATGCATTTTCTATACAGAAGAACCATCACATGCTTTATAATATTTTGTACTGACCATATTTTTCTCAGTACAAGATCCTAAATGTAAACTTCTAATCTGATACTCATATTCATCAATATTTTTGATATTGACAAGTTCTTTAGTAGTTTTAGCCATTGGCTGTTGTTCAGTTCACTGTTCTCATATGCAAGCTCCTCTGAAATTTATAGTACAAGAAACCTTTTGGTGAATTCTGTTTCTAGACTACAGCAACATCTTAAAATGCATGCTGTATATATAGTCAAAGTTTCCATTACAGATAAGAGAAGCTATATTTGGGTTTACAGCCACTGAGGATTCACATCAGGTGTGTGCACAGCATATTAAGCTACTGTATATTGGGTTTAGCTAGTTGGTGGCTCAATATGTTGTTTGAACTAAGTTAGTGTGATTATTGTATGGTTCAATGTGTTATGCAAGTTAGTTCAAGTAAATTATAATTAGATTAGCCTTTTTTTCTCCCAAAAGCTCTGCTGCCAGGTCTCTTCCTTCTCTCTCTCCTTCTCTGAAGCAATTCAATTTAGAAAGAGCCCAATCTGCAGGGATTTCAGTTTTAAAATTTCCCTTTTTGGGTGAAGGCAAAAAATGGTTGAAGATACTTGATGCAGGGCAGCATGGCCAAAACCAGCCCTCCATTTTGTCCAGAACAAATTGCAATTATCCATTCAGAAGAAAATACTCCTTAAATAAAAAAGAGGATGTCAGGGATAATGTTCTATCGCAAAAGCAAGGAGTCTTCAAGACTGCCAAAGTAACTGAGGAATCAGAACTGGCCTCTAAATTAAAGCCAAAAGCAGAAGATGTATCAGTAAAATGAAGACATTCTGAGCCCACCAATTAGTATTTCTTACAGAATTTACATATCTCTTTCCAGCTTTTTCAAGCCCTCATTTGTTAAAGTAATTTAGATAGGGTAGAATTATTTTATTAGTGAAATAATTATCTTGATGAATTCTTAAATTCCTTTCGATTTATTGATCTGCCAATGACCCTGAAATCTATTGTATTTGCATTTTTTTCCTTCCAGGACCCCTTTGGGGAGAAGCGAGGACACTTTGATTACCAATCCCTTTTAGCACGTTTGCAAGGAATCCGCCTGAAGGTTCAGGAGAAGCATCAGCAGGAGAATCCAGACATAGACTCAGACAGCAGCTCTTCCGAAACAGAAACAGACACTCAGGGGAGCATTAAGATTTAGATGCCTCCCACCTGATTACTTGGGAATCCAAACCATGGGGGTGGGATCTTCCAACTCCAGGTGCTGTGGAAGGACCCCAGAGAGACCTAAGAACTGTTTAGGTTCCAGAGTGAGCACACAAGTGGAAAAACAGCCTTTTGTTATCTCCATCAAGCGCTCTAGGTATATCCTGTTAAAAGTGCTAAAACTGAACTGGGCTTGTGAGAGGCTGCATTTTAGAAATGACCCTTCCCTCTGCTGGAGACCTCTGAGTGAATGACACGCCAAAAGAAAAAAAGCATTTTGGAAAAACCTGTAGGCAGGTTTATGTCTCCTGTTCCGCCAATTCTCAGAGAGCATGAGATAAAGCATGGCTCCTTGTTCCATTGTCCTTGTTTCATAAATGTACTGCATATTCCTAGCACTTCCCTCCCAGCTTGTTTCTACGCCTTGATGGGCTCCCAGCAATTTAATTTGTTAAAGCACTTTTTGACTATTTGTACATCACAGTCTATTTCTTCAGATCTGGTGCACTGTGGCTTCCCAGTTGGTTTGATGTTGCCTGTCTTAGACAGACCAAAGAGGAAGAATTTCTGCTAGAATTGGGCTTTGTGTTTTGTTTTGTTTTGAAGTTTCCACAGCTTTATTAAATTCTTGTTTTTCTGATTTTCGCCTAAAGTCCAAGCAGGAAAGGAGTAAAACGCAACCCAGGAAAACAATTAAAATTCATGTTTTAAGCCTACTGTGCAAGTTAACTTTCAGCTTTCCAAAGCAAACTTTACCTCGTTTTACTGACCTTGTTTGGTGGCTCTAAAGGAGAAAGATTTTTTCTTTCCCTGGTAAGATGGATATAATTTCAGGGCTGGGTTATATATAGAAGTAATGATTGCAGAACTGAAGTACAAATAAGTGCAATAGCACCAACAAATTAGCATGTTTATCTGAAGTAGCTTTAGCTTCTGTGCTTTATTTTTGGGAGGCAAGAACACAGCTAGGAGTTTCATGACAGAGAAAGAAGAAATATGGTCAATGTCTCTTAGACTGTTACACCTGGGGAGTAAATTGTTGGAACTATCCAATCAAAGGATCCAGTCTTATTTTAATAAGACTTTATTGAACCTAAAATATGGAGTTGCACACTAGTGGATGAGTTTTTCTATATAATCTATCATAACTCCATTCTTCCAGATGGCATCTATAATACAGGAAAGGTTGCAGACTTCTGAAGATTTTTTTAAATGTAGGAATCTTAACTCTTTCTAAAGAAAATCCACAAGACTTAGCACTTTTAGAACTGGCTCTAAGCCTTTAGAAAATTGGAGGAATTGATGTTGATTGTTGATGCACATGTGATCTGAAGCAGGAGCCATTCTATAGGAAAGACTGTATTCAGCCATCAGCCTAGTAATGTACAGGGTTCCATGCTTGTATCTGCCATCCATCCCACCTCTCCCTTTAAACATCCTGCACGTTCATAGGCAGTATCCTTCCAGCTGCTCTTGTACTTCTTTTGGGATATAAGGGAAGGCATTCTGCTGCTCAAAATATCCTGCAGATTGGGTGTTGAAAAAACCGGTTATACCTAAGAACCAAGTAGAATTCTTTCTCTGTCTTTCCTCGCCCCCCCCCCCAAAAGAATCTCTCCAAGGGGCATGAATAGCTGGTGGGATATGAAAAAAAACATTGCAATACAAGTTTACGTGTAGATGCCTTGTAACGGGAAGGTCTCAAGAGGCAGAGTTAATTTTATCATGTTCATTTTAATCTCATTAGATACAATCCAAGTCAGATTTATTTCCCTCAAAATCAAAGGGATGTAAGTGCACAGTTAATTTTTAAGTCCTGCTGGAATCAGCGAGACTTAGGCCTTAGGCACTCTGTGCCAACTGAATAAATTTGGGTTTCCCCATGCTATTCCCTAGGGCTAGAAGTGCTTCTGGGCTGGAGCACTGTGATTTCAAGGCATCTTAACTCCAGATGCATGTTAGCTGTTGAAGTATTGCATACATTTCATTAAAACAAAACATGAAAAATGCCTTATGTGGTTTTTTTTTTAATGTGGGTCACATGTGGGTATAAGAAAAAAAAGGAATCTGATTTTGTAGCTGCCCATAATTATCTGTCTTCTGAATGTTTCCATTCTAAGAAATGACAATCCTAGATTACTGATCTAGACAAATGTTGGTGACATAATTTTAGACCTAACAAGCGTAAGAAAAAAAAGAAATAAATGCACAAGGGTCTTCAGATAGAAACCTTGTTTATATACAGTTGTACATAAGGGGTGGGGGTTTTTTTTGGTGCAATAAACTTTGTTTTAGCAGGATCTGGAGTTCATCTGTGTCATTTCGGAAAGGTAAAATAATGCTACCTACCCTCAATGTGTGTTACAGAAACTGAAAGAACAGCTTTTTAAATATACCTAATATATGCTATTTCTCCAGCATCATTACCAGATCTTCAATGCTGGAATTTCCCATTGGAAGCTAGATTGTTCAGCTCCAGCCTGAGACCTTGAAACAGTTCTAAACTCTTGTTCTTCTGAAAGCATTGGAGGTGGAGATGGAAATTCTGATTCTGCAAGAATGATTGTGATGATTCCTTCCCTTCCCCTTCATATTCCACATTGTAGACAGTATTTGCATGTGTGTATGTCGTAATGAATTCAAGAAGATATCCTATATACAAGGGCAGTTCAGAAATAAACCTCCATTTGGTTATTAATGACAAACACTCGCAGATACTGAACTTCTATTATACACATTAAAAAATGTGTATAATAGAATGTGTACAACATTACATTACTTTTTGACATAATTGCCATTCAAATTGAGGCACTTGACATAACATCTTACAAGGTTTGAAAATCCTTAGTAGCCGCTCGGTGCCAAATCTGGGCTATGGGGGGGGGTCATCAAAAACATCCCAACGGAACAGCTTCAGAAAGTTCTCGGGTGCGTCTAGCGGTGTGCAGGCGAGCATTATCGTAAACCAACACCACACCAGAAGTCAGCATGCCCTAACACTTGTGGATGGCTCGTGTGAGTTTTCGTAACATTACACAATTCATTACTGAATTGATGGTCATGAACTTCACTAGTAGCCTCTTCACATTTGGCGGGATTTTCTATGGCACCACTTCCGGTATGTTGGTTCATGATAATGCTTGCCCGCACACTGCTAGACGCACCAAAGAACTTTTGAAGCAGTTCTGTTGGGATTTGTTTTTTGTTTATTAAAAAGTTTTTTATTTATAATACAATTAAAACAAAAATGGACAAGCGTGACATTCCAGAGTAAGTATTCCTAACAAGTTTGTTTCTCGTGGTACAAAAACTTAATACATCATTCTTAACCTCTATATAAGCCTCATCTTTTCTATGTAATACAATTAAATATACAATTATATGTACAGTTATATATATATTTCAATCCTATCATTAACTTGAGATCCGAGCAGTTCTCCTTAATTCATACCAACGGTAAAATTTGTCCCAGATTTCTAAGTTATTCGAGTTCTGTCTTGTCCTTCATAATCATTGTAAGCCTGTCCATCTCAGCACATGAAAGGATTTTATACAGGATCTCTTCTTCCATTGGAATTCCTTTATTCCTCTAATTTTGAGCAAAAACCAGTCTGGAAGCCGTTAGAATGTGTAACATTAAATAAAGTACGCCTTTGTCGTACTTTTGTGTGGTTATAACTAATAGGAAAAGTTCTGGTTTTGGCTCTACCACTCGCTCTAATACAGTGGTTCTCAACCTGTGGGTCGGGACCCCATTTGGGGTCAAACGACCATTTCACGGGGGTCGCCAAACAACGCAGTCCGCCATTTTTTTCCCCTTAGCTGTGCTACTCCCTTTTATTCTATTGGCTTTTGAAAGCCAATAGAATAGACTCTCTTGAATAGAGTCTAATTCTATTGGCTTTCAAAAGCCAATAGGAATTGTCCAGGCTGTCTCTGCCCTGCTGAGCCCGCCAAAAGTCCCATTCTGCAAACGGTGCTGCACTAGTTGAATAGTCCTCGACTTCCGACCGGTTGAGTAGTCCTCAACTTACGACCGGTTGGAGTCGCGGCATTAAAAAGGTTGAGAACCACTGCTCTAATATTTCTTCCAACCATTCTTTGATCCTATTCCAAAAATCACGAGCACCATATATGATAGTATGTTCCAATTGTCAGATTACATTTCCAATATTTAGAGGAGACATTGGAACACATTTTAGCTAATCTTATGGGTGGGAGATGCCATCTATAGAACATTTTGTAGAGGTTTTCTTTGTAAGAGGTGGCCAAAATAAGCTTCTTGTTTCTTGCCCATAGTTCTTGCCAGATGTGCAGATCAAAATTAAGACCAAACTCCTTGCTCCATTTTAACAGTCACTTTTACTTGTTCCTCATACATTGCCTGATCTAACAAATAGTGGTATAATTTTTTAATCATTTTATCCTCTGATCCCAATGTTATTTTATCCAATTCTATTGGTTCTAATTTAATACCTAACTCTTTTTTATCTTTCCAATATCTCACCTGCAGTTGCAGGTATGCCCACCATTCTAATTCTATCCCTTCATCCTGGAGGGTTTTTCTGGATTTAAATTCCCCTCTTTCATCTAAAATGTTTTTATATGTTATGATCTTACCTAATCGGGTAAATTTTGGGTGTACATATATTTCTAATGGTGAGATCCAACTAGGTACTTGGATATAATTTGGTTGCCAAATTTTTGTCCATATATCAATAAGAGCTTGTCTAATATAGTGTCTTCGAAAATATTTATGTATTTTATATTTCTTATCCCATAATATAGCATGCTATCCTATTTGTAGGTCATGGCCCTCCAGACATAATAGTCTCCTGTTCTTTAATAATATCCAATCTCTTACCCATACTAGTGCTATAGTCTGGTAGTATTTCTCCAAGTCTGGAAGGCCAAATCCTGTTGGGATGTTTTTGACCACCACCCCCATAGCCCAGATTTGGCGCCGAGCGGCTACTACTAAAGAATTTAAACCTTGTAAGATGTTACGTCAAGTGCCTCACTTTGAATGGCAATTATGTCGAAAAGTAATGTAATGTAGTTTCCTAATGTGTACAATAAACGTTCTGTATCTGCAAGGGAATGTCATTGATAACCAAACGGAGGTTTATTTCTGAATTGCCCTCATACATAGCTACTTAGGAGTAAGTCCCATTGAGCTCTACAGGAATTAGTAAAGAAGTTTAGGATTATACTGTTTGGCTGCAGTGCATGTATATCTGAAATTGTTCTGGAATGCAACTTCCTCCAGAGTAAACTTAGTAGAACTGTGTTTGCAAAGGCAACAGGAAGGTACAATCACAATGGAAGAAATCCATGCCATCAACACTCAAGGTGTGTATTTTTAAATTAGGCCTAATAAATAGTCTTCCAGATATCAATCACTAGTTACAAACTGATATAATTGTAGGGGGTACAGAAAAAAAAGCTAAACAGATTCCAGGACTGTTGGGTGTTGCTTCTTTTTATGAGACAAGTTAACCTCAAGTAAGGAATGGAAACATCAGACCTTTATCAACTTTGGTTTTTTTTATAATCTTCAAGACAAGCAACCAAATGTTAGTGTGTTGACTGCAAGTACTGGCTAATCTGAATCCTGAAAAATTATAAGGCATTTGGAAACCAAACAGTCCAACCTGAAAAATAAAAGTTCTGACTTTCAAAATAATTGTGCATTAAAAGAAAATAGCTTTTTGTACATTTTTGAATAACAAGAAAAATGCCCAAAGCATTGATCTGCTTGATTAATAAATTAACCTTCCAAATTCATGTAAAATTCAGGTTTTATTTTTTGTACATTGGAAGTGTTAATTTTGCATTTAAAATAAACAGTTTATTCTTCATTTTATTGCCAATGTTTTATCAGTACTGTTTCATCTCTTAATGGGGAATTCTGGAAAAAAATTGACTGGTAGACTGAAAAATTCTGAAAATCCTTGAACTAAAACATACCTTAGATTGAGTTCCTATACTACACTATGACTTTGTCTGATACTTTTTTGTGGGAATTCATTAGCCAATTGCTTGCATCTTCTAGATAAACAGCTGTCTCTTGATCTACTCGTAACCTCAACACCACTGGATAGGGCATCAATCTATAGCAGTCCAACTCTTCACATAAATTATCCCCAATAAATTCTTCCTTGTATTTTGTATGAAGTCGTAGATGATTCTTAGGATGTTACAGGAAGCAGTTTCTTCTTCCACACAACATGATCTGTGAATATAGCTACAGAAAATTCTTCTACCAGCCTAAGTAACTTTTCAGTCATGAGTAGTAAGTCCTCAAATAAGTTTTATCCTGTCTATTTTTATATCCATGAATTATATTCAGAACATAAACTTATTGATTTATGGAAATCAGTAAGACTTCAATACAGTCAATGATTTTTCAAACGGTTAATAAAATTTTATACCCCCAACATGAAGTTTAATACATAGCTTTATGAATTTCAAATTTTTATGTGCACTGCACAAATATGGAAGAATATACTGTTTACAGATTTCAACATGCTAAGGCACAACATGGTTATGGTTGTGAAGATATGTTTTCACACAGTATCTCAGGTCAGAGAAACCCTGACTGCCTGATGGCTGAAATTGAACTAAGTTTTACCCATGACTTTCTAAACTGTCTTTCAAGATACTCTTGCTTTTTTTAAAAAAAAAAAAAAATGAAATTGTGCAAACCTCCAATGATACATAAGTTGGAAATAATAATAATAGTTTGGTCCTTTACCCAAAATCCCAGTAGCAATAAAGAAGTCCAGCTGTTTCATCATACAGAAACAGACCCCTTTAAGTGAAGAGATTCAGTATATATACAGTTCAGCCAATATATTACTCAACAAACTTGGGATAAGCAAATGAAAAGAAATCAAACAGTTTTAGCATCTGACATCAATCCTCATTCTAAACATTTACAAGAACTGAAAGAAAAGGCTACAATTTTGGACAGATTCCCTCCTGCCATCTCATCCTCATTACAAGAACTAGAAACTTGCTAATGAAATAAAAATCTTCATTTGGCAGAAATCCACATTTAGTATCAAATACATGCTGAAATTAGATATTAGCAAAGCAGATATTTTCTTATAAATATTTTAAGATCCAGAATAATAACTACCGTTCAATGTTACCATATTAACAATCAGCAAATGTTCAGTTATTACTCATCTTTGATATTGTCAAGGTAAAGCTTCCTTTGCTTCTTCTGGTGTGATTTCCTGAGAGTACAGTTCTGTAAAGAGGGCAGGTAGCCAGTACTGTGGTTCTCCTTGAGCTTGTGTATCAAGCCAGGCCATCCCTTCCTTCAGCAAATGATCCTGTAAAAAGCCACAATGTATTTGTTGGGGAAGAAGAACAAAGAAATAAACAATAATCAAAAGCAAGTGGATGGTGGCATGAACAGTCATAAGTAGTGAGCATGTTTAGTAACCATGGAATACTGGCTCCTATTTGGAAGAGAAGGTGGAAACAATAGACTGAATGAAATGCCAAATGGGGAGAAATTCATAATTATACAATTATACAATGGAAAACTCAGCAGTCCTTTTTTTCATATACCACTGAGTCATCCCAAACAATATTATTTTTTTTTAAAAAAAAAAAGTTGAAAAAGCCTCTTTCCCTATATTTCAATGATCTTGCCCCAAATCGCATGGGTCTGATAGTTGCCTGGAAACAAGATTTCAAGAACAAATACTGAAATATTACAGAATATAGTGTGATAGCGGTCCCATTAATTAATTAATTAAACAAACCAGATGCCATATGAGGATTCTGTAAATATTAACAGCCTCTGGAGAAAACAGTATTTCCAACTTTTTAAAAATCTGAATTTTAAACTACCAAATTCAGGCAGTTTTTTCTTTTTATAGGTCCAAATTACTGACATACCAGCACTTGCTTGGCTCGTTCCATTTCCCACTTTAAACTGGACTTGATTTCACTTATAGTCACATATCCCTTTTTCTGAAATTAAGAATGGAAAAAATAGGATTTCAGTAAATTTGCCAAGGCAGAAAAAGAATGCATAAAAAATAAAAAGAGAATAAAATACATTTAATGACTGCTGTTTGGGAGAAGATATACTAAAAGCAGAGCATGAATGCCCAAACATCAAATAACATCCCAATATCTCTGATTTTAAATTGATTTTAGAAAAGATTTCCTTACCACATTTTCTCCTAATGAAATTATGAAGAAACAGTTTCATACAAAATAGCACTTACTCAAGCCTAATTCACAGAATTCTAAAATTTGCCTGGGGAAAGAACAGCTAAGATTGAACAGTGCAGATTGGGTAAAAGAATTGCTTTGTTCATATGCTGTCTAATATGAAACATACAATATCTTTGTTTTTTGTTTAGCATGAACAGAGACCTGAATAATTGTTAGGGTAATAAAACAGTTTGAAATGATAGTTTGGTATTGGTTTATTAACTGCATGTGGTTTAAGTGCATAGCTCATGTGCATAGTTCTGTGAAATAAGCATAATGAATGTTAGATTAAAGGAATTGTGATCCATGAATAATTATTAAATGCATTCATCTTTATATTTCCATAAATATGTTTCCCAACTACTTACTTATTTGTTTATATTTTTAATAAACATATAGGATGCAATCCAGATTAGGATTGCAGCATGCAAAAAAGGAGAATTAATTCTCCTCTCACCAAACTATATCATACAATTCCTGAATTTATCTCTTCTGCTATAGTTCCTGTTCAAATTTCCAATTCAACATGCAGAAGCACTTATTTACTTTCATGTTAAATTTTAAAAACTTTCTACAACTGGCTAAATCAAAATAAATCTCCTCTCATTCTTTTCTAGTATAGGCACCTCAGCAAGCTGTATCACAACAGTGTGATCCATGTTTAGTTCAGCTGGCACAGACTGGATCAGGTATGTCCCACCAACAGGAAGAATCCCGAAGCCATTTCCTAAAACTTTCAGCTTCTTAATTGCTCGGATAAGGTCATCTCTGTGGAATCAGAAGAGGAAAAATAAGGCACGAATAGCAGAAATTTTCAACTATTTCCAAGGCAATACGTTTCAATTCCTCAAAATCACCTACTCAAAATACACAGAAAATTGCAGAATGAATTCTCAACAATCAAAGTATTTGTGTCAAAGCCTATACACAAAAAGAGAAATTTCTAGCCTTTATGGCTATAAAGATGTTAGGAAGCCAATGCTGACCCTCAAAAATTGAAACAATGGCAAAATAATATTTGCAGTGAGATACAGAGAACTTCGAACTTGTATAACTCCTTACTGTGAGAGACAGGCTATGAGAAAGAAAGGGGGGCAGCTCAAGGTGTCTTTCTGAGAAATCCTTCAGACTTTACTCCCCGCATATTAACTGTTGTATTGCTTTCCTAGAAAAGATCTTGAGGATAGACTGTACTAACCGTCTTCCTTTTGAGGAGAAGGAGCAAATGCTCTCATGGATCTTGTGGCTATTGTTCTTGTTAATGCTATATGTGATTTCATGATAACAGCTTCAGTAAATTGGATAACCAAATATTTAAATGACCTTACTTGTCCTTTCCCACTTGTCTCCTCACCATCTAGGGCAGTGGTTCTCAACCTTTTTAATGCTGCGACCCCCCCCCCAACTGGTCGTAAGTCGAGGACTACTCAACCGGTCGTAAGTCGAGGACTACTCAACTGGTGCAGCACCATTTGCAGAATGGAACTTTTGGCGGGCTCAGCAGGGCAGAGACAGCCTGGACAATTCCTACTGGTTTTTGAAAGCCAATAGAATTAGACTCTATTCAAGAGAGTCTATTCTATTGGCTTTCAAAAGCCAATAGAATAAAAGGGAGTAGCACAGCTAAGCAAAAGGGGGAAAAAAATGGTGGACTGCGTTGTTTGGCGACCCCCGTGAAATGGTCATTCAACCCCAAATGGGGTCCCGACCCACAGGTTGAGAACCACTGATCTAGGGTAAATCCATGTCTCTTGAACTTTTGACAAAAACCTTGGTTTTAGAATAGTTTATCTGTAAATACTTTTTCCTGCAGTACGTGCCAAATTTTGTCAGGATTCTTTTAATTCCAATTAATGTTTTTGATATGAATATCATGTCTGCATATAGTAATATAGGGGCCTTTCTGGTTCCAACTGAGGGGGCAAGAAAGGAAGGATTCTTAAACTCTTCTACAATGTTGTTTATTTAAAAATTAAAGAGGACAGGGTCCAATATATAATCCTGACAGACACCTTTTGTAGTTTTAATCTGATTTATTAGGGAGCTATTGTGATTTATCCATACTTGCATTTAGTGTCTTCACATAATATAGATATTCTTTCCCTCTATTTATTGTATTAGATGATGTCAATAAATGTTGCATATAAATATTTTTATTGTTGCATATCAATCTATTTAGTGATTGGTGAATCAGGTGTTGTAAGGTAAATCAATGATCTATAGTACTGTTTTCCTTTCTGAAACCTGTCTGCTCTTCTGCTATAATCTGCCTAGTATCTGTCCAATCAGTCTATTTAGAAGGTATTTTGTATATAGCTTACTGCCTATGTCAATAAAGCTTAAAGATACAGATACATTCTTAAAGTTGCCAAGTTTAAAAAACAACTGTATGCATATCTGATACAACAAGATATTCATTTTTATACAATATATTAGAACTATACCTCAACAAGAAAACTTGATCACTAATGAAAATACTGTGGTTGCGGCAAATAATGTTAACCATAATCATTATGGTTAACATAATCTGCATATTTTTTTCATTAACAGGTATGTCCCACCAACAAGAAGAATCCCAAAGCTATTTCCTAAAACTTTCAGCTTCTTAACTGCTGGGATAAGATCATCTCTGTGGATTCAGAAGAGGAAAAATAAGGCACGAATAGCTCTCCCACTCCCCTGCAGAAATTATAGCCATGAATGCAAACTTACTGGCTAACATCTTGAGCAAATTTTCCTCTTCCTTTGAGCACCTGTTGATGGAGTTCATCCAATATTATTAATCCTAGATAGAAAAAGGAAACAATTGGTAAATTGTAAGAAAAGTTGAATCCTACCAAAGATTCTATAAATTAAGACTGTAATTGTATAAACGAATTTTCCCCAAGTTGCTGCCATATGTGGATATCAGGACTATAACCCCCTATTAGTCAAAACTTTAGTGAGTTGTAGTCTCAATGGAAACTAGGTTAAAGAAGGCTGGTATATATAGAATCTCTGATAAATCTCACTAACTAAATGAGGCTCGTTTCTTAATAGGCATGCATACAATTTTGCTGCCATCTCAGACGCTTACCAAGATGTAAGTTCCATTGAATACAGTTGGATTGGACATCAATATAAATAGACTAGACAATGGAGAACTGGAAACCAACGTCTAATGCAAACCCACACACACGGACCAGATCCTCAGCTTCGCAATCAACCACCCCACCGCACACAAAAGAAGGGCCAGGACACACTGTAGTACCACAACACTAAGAAAAGCAGAAGAGAAACGACTGCTTGATGTCTTTCTCCATAACAGCTATCCAAAAAACTTCATACTCTGACACACACCATTCAAACCACACCACACCATACAGCCAACTACCATGCAAAAACTAACCTTATCATACACAAAAGGGTGTCAGAAATGACAGCCAAAATTCTCCAACCTGAGGAATAGCAACAGTTCACAAATCCACAGCCACACTCCACCAGGAATTATCCAGAACCAAAGACAGGATACAGAACGATGAAAGAAACATTGTAATCTACAAAAATCAACTGTAACAACTGTGATCAATGTCAATTAAAAACCAGGATCCATAAACACCAGCTGGCAATCAAATGCCACAATCCCAACACCAAACAGCACCAGTTTGATTGGAGAAACATCTCTACCCACCCCAACACCAAACAGCACCAGTTTGATTGGAGAAACACACAAATCATCGGCCATGCTACAATCAGCCTACAAACATATCAGAATCCAAAATCCAAATCAACCACACAGCCAACCAGAGACAGCACCGACCCTCAACCAATCCTCGCAAGCCCCCCCACCTGTTCACCTCCCAATAACCCTGACCTTCTCCATCACAAGACCCATCACAAAACTCACAGCTGACTCACACCTGACCCATCACAGACCTTCACTCGACATACCCACACTTGAAGTCTTTATAAACAGAAGAACACTGACACCGATATCCCTAAACTCCGCTGAAGATGTTACTTAGCCTGGTAAATAAATGTTTGGAAACCAATCCATAAGCTCGGAGAATTAACCTTCACCCTCACAGTTAGACTTGCTTTTGAATAAATGTGTATAGGATTGCAGTGAAATTCTTTTAAAGAAAAAATGAGCATAAAGCCATGTTATGAAGCCACTAAACAGATACAGTCAAAATTCTCATTGTTTTGGGGAGAAAAATGGGAGCTTGTCTTTTAATCCTGCAAACAGGATTAAATCCTGCAAACTCCCAGCTATCCAGTCTGGGAGTCTTTAAAAGAGCTACTGGGCTGCACATAGTGTACTCATCTTGATTTAGCAGAATATGTGAAACAGGCTGCAGCATAGGAGATATGTGTGAAGCTTTTAAGGCTACTCTCTCAAATTAAGTGTCTCAAAAATAGATTACTTGGTAGCAAAAGTGGTAAGGATTTTATACTAGGTTGTACGTACTTAAATTAATGGAATTAATTTCTTAGTTATGATACGTAACACGGGATTGCTAATATTTCTGTAAGACAACATTCAGGTATCCAAAAAGGTTGGAAGCTATGATAATCACAAAAGCATATTATTACAGAAATGGGCAATGAAAGTGCGCTTAGGGGTTGTAATTTAGAAACTCAAGTTTCCAAGGCTTGGGAAGGAAGGGAAGCAACCTCACCACACCAGATGAAGAAAAAATGAACTTTTATTTGAATTTTAAGGGGGAAGGGGGTGAGAATATGAGGGCCTCCCTCTTCCTTAACATTCCAGAAAAACAAAAAAGACCTAAGAAACACATTAATTTGATAGGGGGAGATAGGTGGGAATGGAAGCTGAAGATCTCCTACATGTAGAGCATTTTACCAATAAAATTCAGAAGAAGAAAGTGGGGCCCTGCATGTGAATTACTAAATACACTCACCTCCATTTCTGTGCTTGAGAGCCAAGCAGACTTCAATAATCTGGACACCTAACTCATAGTAAAAATCTCCGACACCCAACATTTCTGACCAGAATCCTTTACCAGCTGCAAAAAAAAGTTATGTTATTTTAGGGTAAAAAATGAGCTATGCATTTTCTCAGAGATATTCCTCCCCTTACCAAGGTCTCCTAGTCCTTAGAGGGAAATTATGACTGCCTCTCTTTATGCTTTAGAAACTATTTGCTGTCTAATGCTGATCTATTTCCTCTTTTATTTTCATTTCCTACTGAAACAGGCAAAGACAGAACAGCTCACCTTGCTGCCAGTGATGACAAGGAATTCTTTGTAAGTGAATAGAAGCTGATAAAAGATGGAATAAAACAGTACTTTTCAACTTCAGCAACTTGAGATATTTGGACTTCAGCTCCCAGAATTCCCCATCCCAGAGTTGAAATCCACACATTTCAATATTGTTGAGGTTGAGAAACTCTGAAATAAACAATATGTTTTTCATTCTTCCTTCCATTTTGTATTGCTCATCCATATCTTTTCAGTTTCCTTGGTAGGAAGCTATTTTACTATCATATAATCCTGCATTTCTACATGATTTCCCACTCCTCTAAGGCCTTTAAACCTTAGCATGATTTTGGTAGAAAAACTCTTGAAGATTAGTCATACCTGTGGATTATTTACTACGCTATTTTAGAGATTTCCCATCTGCTAAAAAGTTTCATGGCTATTTCTTTATTCTAATTTTTGTTGGCTGTAAATAATCCTCAACACAAACCATCTTTATATCTAAAACACAGAGATATAAATTATATATAATTACCAATACCTGCAGCTAACCGAGAAATGCTAGTTGTATTCAACATCAACTGAGGAGCTATGGTTCCCCCATCAAAGATTTCCACTCCTTCCCCATTGCTTACAGGCTAGTGGATCAACACCAATTGTTGCACACATATTTTGGAACTGGACTCTGAACTCAGGATTTTTGCGGATTTCTTGTTTGTGTTTACTAGCAAACTCTTCTAGGTTACTTTTAAATGTCTCCAGCTGCTTAGACATCTGTAAATGTATTTGGAAAAGATAATAGAGTAACAAAATTAGCTGGTTTGGAAATATTACTACAGAATCTTTTAAATAACCTTCCACACAAGATAACACATTGCAGAATATATTCTCCAATTCAAATATCAGTTTTCAAAATAATGCTTTAATTCAATGAATCCTCTATCCCAAGAAACAATCTACTGAAAAAGATTTATAGGAAGTTTGCAGGTGTTTAAATATTACTATCACACATTTTCTACATAGAACCTTTCTAGTCTTTTCTCCAACCTGCTGATATTTTTGTAATCGAGTTCCATAAAGTATATATACATTTTTTATAGAAGCTTAATGCCTGGGATTAGAGCTACAGATATCTTTCCAATTCAAAAAACAAATGTAGACATTTTCTTATCTCACCTGGGCTAACTGGTCTTCAGCCAAAACTGTCCCACGTTCCTTATATTTGGCCTAAGAAAAGAAATCATTAATTTTAATATTATTGCTGATAATTTTTGTCATATTATGATTGTGCTATTCATACTGACTTTTAGTGATCACATAGATTTTTTCCATGACATATTTTGATACTGAAGGCTTATATTTTTCTACTAATGAGAATATCATTTTCCATAAATATTTATATAAGGCTTTGTTAACTTTCCTTTCTGCAAGGCAAAGCTAAGTATGCCCTCCTACCCTTCTCATGCTGGCAGAAGAGGCCTACTGTGGACCGCATCAACCAAGGACTTGTGGCTGGTGGGATACAGAAGAGCCTTTTTTTGCATGGCCCTGCTCTTGGGAACATCTTGCTGCAGGAGATGACATCTCTCCCATCCTTCTGACCTTCAGGAAATATCTTAAAACTTGCCTATACCAAATGGCATGGGGTCTTGAAGGATAAGCTATTGGCTGGAGGTGGCTACTGTAATAACAGAGAAGTCATCACCACCTTCTGCTTTCTAGTTTTAATTATTTGTAATTTTAATCTGTTTTTATATTCATATTTTTATGTTGTAAACCATGAGGTGAGCAGCATATACATTTGATAAATAAATCTGACAGAATATCAGTCCTTCTAAAGTATGGATAATAGAGGAAAATGCGATGTAATCATTTTTCAGAGATGAATTAAAGAAAGAATGCAAAGTGGACTAACTTTCCGGAGCAGAAAAGAAGCTGATTAGCACTAGAACTGAATAAGAAAAGAAAAAAAATAAAAAATAAGAAATTCCACGAGTTAATTTCTATCACAATCATTACTGAAGAGGAATATACCTCTGGGCATGTGCAAAGTATCTCCCCCCCCCCCTATTCTCTAGTCCCCTTCAACCCCGACCCAGGCCCCCTCACCACTTGGATACACGACATCCCAGAGGCGGAAACCAGAAAACTCCCAGCACTTTTCGCTAGGAAGTGAAACCCTTTTCTTCGGGAAAGGATAGGATAGGTAAGAGCGGGAGAGGAAAGAGGAACTTCACTCGTCTGAAGGGAAAGGACCTCACCTCTGCCAACTTTTTTTTGGCGATGGCGCCGGCCCCCACGCCCCGGCGGTGCATCTTTGCACGGGGGAGGGAGAAGGAGAACGCAGCCTTCGGATCGGAACTGTTCGAGGACGAAGGCAGCACTGGAGGCAATTGACCAAATGACTAACCCCGTCCCTCTTTAGTACGTCATCAGCATGCGACAAGCAGGAAGTTCGCCTGGGTTGATAATTTTCTTCAATTCTCTCATCGCTCTGACAAATGTGCTGTTTGACTTGAAAGGTAGAAGGTTTCTTCCACTTTATTTGTCTGATACTAAAATCCTAAAAAGGGAACGGAGGCTAAAGAGAGAAATCTTCGCCAAAGCCCTTGTGACATCTTCAATCCACCTCCCCCAACCTTTTGCTGTCTAGAGGCACCGGACTACAGTCCTTCCGTGCGAGGACTGTAACTACACTGGTGGACGTCAGCCGAGGAAGGATGTTCAGAACTATAATGATAAAATGCTGCACGCTTTCGGAACCACCAGATGAAAGCCAGAAAATAGGCACTTTAATATTGTAATAAATACACATATGTAAAAATTACACACTTGCTGGCAAAAGAAAGATATTTCTCTCCCAAGTTAAGTCTTTTTACTTCAGCAAGTAAAGAAATGGACTGCAGCAGTAGCCTTCAAGAATTTTGAGAAAGTATTAGTTTTTCTAATATGAGAGATTAAATGTGGTTGGTTAATTATGGTTCAGTCAGTGTATTGTGTGAATCCAACTAATATGGTTGGTTTATGGTTTTGTATTTTGTGAACTCCAGCAGATGGGATAATTTAATAAAGTATGGTTCAGCTAATAGTTTAGCACATTGTGGAGACACAACCATGGTGACTTATGAGTCTTCTTGAACTTAGAGTTTTCCAGATATTTTGGGATCTTAAAACCCAAACCTCTCAGTGTTGGGAATTTTGGGAATCATGGGCCAACACATTTGGAGAGTGCCAGTCTGGGGAAGGATACTGTTGCACATGCCTCATCACAAAGTTTATAGGATTGTATAATTCCATGTACTTAATTATTCCTTGACAACAGTACTTTTCTATCTTGACTTTGTTGTTAGCTATGCCTAATAAATCCTATTTTTCCCATTGTGTAAACTATCCCACTTCTTCAAGATGTTTGTAATCTGTACAGGTAGTTGATTTAGAACCATCTGTTTGGTGTCCCAAAGGTGCTTTTTCAAGAGGCAACTGGACTTTCTTGCTTTTTTAAAAAAGATATTTTGCTTCTCATCCAGAAGTTTCTTCATCTCTGACTGGATGGTGGGGAATGGAAGTAATCCTTTGAAGAGTGCATGAACAGATTTCCAGAAAAATTGCAGACTACAGGAACAATTTGCACTTTAGTTTGAGATGCAGACAACACAGACTAATCCCTAGCAGCTTGCACCTGTGTTAAACAGTGAAGGAACACAGGGCAGAAAACATTCTACAGCACAGCTCCACATTACAATCTTTTCAGCAGTTCCAAAAAGGCTCCATACCCATTTGCACTACTCCAGTGACCCTGAGGACAAGTAGCCTCAATGATTCTCTAAAACGGGTGTTAAACTGCCAGCCCATGGGCCGGATGCATCATAGCAAAACCGCACCCACCCCATTGCTGGCAATGGCAAAAAAGTCACGATACGTCACAACACGTCACGTGATGTTTGATACTCATGCTCTAAAAGAATGCAAATGATCAGCTGTCAGCAAGGAATGTAAATCCTTCCATTCCCCACCATCCAGTCAGAGCTAAAGAAGCTTCTTGGATGAGAAGCGAAATGTCTTCAAAGAAAAACAAGAAAGTCCAGTTGCCTCTTGAAAAAGCACCTTTGGGACAACCATGACCTGGATGACTGAGAATCTCCATAGACATTTGTTTGGTGACTGTTCAATATTACAATGGCACTGAAAAAAGTGACTAATGACCAGTTTTCACAGAGAGTTGTTGCAATATCCCCATGGTCATGTGATCAAAATTTGGCTGCTTGGCAATTGGCATGTATTTATGACAGTTGCACTGTCCTGGGGCCAGGTGATCACCATTTTGATCTTCCCAACTGGCTTACAACAAGCATAGTCAATGAGGAAATCAGATTTGCTTAACAACTACATGATTTACGTAATGATTGGGGCAAGAAAGATTGTAAAATGGGGCAAAACTTACTTAACAACTGCTTTGCTTAGCAATGGAAATATTAGGCTCTATTGTGGTTGTAAATCAAGGACTACCTGTAATACTTTGTCCCCCCATTATATATAAGGTGTTTTGCTGTCACTGTCCTATTGTGAATTTACTTTCAAAGTGTGCTTTGAATGTTCCAGGCTGTTGTGAGCATGCTTCATTTCTTCAGGTGACAGGCCAGCCCCCTCAAAAGCCATCTCTTTCTCACCATTTGCCCTCTCTGTCTGCTTTTTGTTTCTGTGTTCCTTTTATATTCCTCATCCTATCCTTGATACCAGATTCTCTTCAAGTTTACAAGGAGACAAGGAGAACAGGAGACAAAAGCCAAGCTCTGCAACTTTAGTTGAGGAAGAGGTTGTCCATTTATACTAATCTGCTTTCACACAAAATATATTCTGAAATATATTCTGTTTATTTGGAGATGCAAAAGCTCAACTTTTCCTCATTGCAGCATCCAGAGAATTAGAGATTTTTGTTACTTATTTGCTAATTTCTCTGCAATTCTCAGTTTTGAACATACTGTTTTTCTCTCCTAAATTGTCCTTATTTTTCAGGATAATTGAAGGATCTGACTCTTAATTGTCCATAACCTCTGATCAGTTGTCTAAATCTAAGCCTATGTTTGAGATGAATGTTAGAAACCTCAAATCACTGAATGACTTAGAAATGGAATGTGAAGCTCTTCCAGGATTTTATCCACAGCCTGTAATAGCTCACTAATTAACAAATAACGACCTTTTCCAACCAGATGCTCTTTTGTTTTGTTGGACTACAAGCTCCATGAGTATACTGACTGGGAACAATGACAACTATTAATAGCCTCTATTGTGGCCCCTAACAGAAATCCCATATCCCGGGACTGAAATATTAAATTTACTAAAGCAGCTGCATATAAGGAAAACTTATATAAAATGTTTTATAGATGGCACATGACACCAGTTAGATTAGAGAAGATGTTTAAAAATGTATCAAATATGTGTTGGAAATGTAAACAACAACCAGGCACTTATTACCATCTCTGGTGGATATGTCCTAATGTTAAAAAATGTTGGTTTAAGATCAATATGTGGCTAGAAGAGATGATTAAAACACAGATAGAATTTAAACCAGAACTCTGTTTGTTAGGAATATTAGGTTTGAATTATGGAAAAGAGAATGAGTATTTAATATTGCATGTGCTGACAACCGCAAGAATAATATTTGCCCAATTTTGGAAAAGTGAAAATTTACCATCTGACCAGGCTATAATAACAAAAATACTCGAATGTGCAGAAATGGATAGACTGACTTTAGAAATGAAAGAGAAAGAAGACACAATTTACTTTAAAACATGGAGAAAATTTTATTATTGGTTAGAAACACACTAGAGTGAGAAAAGATTATGAAATTTAAAGAGATAATTGATAGTTTGTATTTATATTCCATGATTATTTTTATGAACTTGTTCTTATTTCTTCTTCTTCTTCCTCTTTGTATATTTGTGATCTTAAATAATATGGTAAACTATAATTAATATGTAGCATATTAATTAATTATAATGAATTAATATTAAGTATTATTAAGTAGTGAAATGAATGAGATTTATTGACTAATTTGTTATTTACGTGATTATATAGAAAGTTGTTTAATAATAGAGCAATTATTAAGATTTAATATGTAAACCCGGACTGGTAGACTTGCTGAAGCGATGTTATTTTGTGGGATTAATCCCACTTTTGTGTTACCCCTTTTTCCTGGTCTAACCTTTTTGTATGTTTCCCGTTGTCTTACTCTTTTTGACCCTATCCCCTTATTACCTTTATAAAACTCAATAAAAATATTTATATATATATATAAAAAGAAATCCCATATCCCCATTTCTGTTCTTATTGAATAACAAGCTAAATCATTTCTTGACTTGAGAATAAATCATTTATTGTCAGTGTCGGTAATGACAAAGTCATTAATAAAGGGTACAAAATGGAAAGTTCAAGTTGAGAAAGGAAAGGTAGATCCAGCTTTTTTCTTTAGGAATCTATGGAATCCTGAAAAAAATCATAAATGAGGATGGTAAAAAATCTAGTTTGGTAATAGCTTGATGATTTGAGGAAAAAAGACAGTGTATGATCAGTACAACCATTTTTATCCATACATTATAAATCCCAAACAAATTTTTCACCTTGAATAATTTCAAAATATTGGTTGAATGACGTTTCTGCAAATAATTACAGTAAACAGTATCTCTCCCCCCTTTTAAAGCAATAAATGTATGATTACTGATCAGCAACAATGAATAATATCTGAGATATTATAGCACATATATTTTGATTGTGGATCTCTCAGTAGACAGGATACTGTTTTTGTGTTTCAATGAAAAACCCATGAAAACTACTATGTGCTTTTATGTACAGTTGATTTGGTCCTGTCTCCAGAACAAGGAAGATGGGAACAAAAGAGTGATTTACTCACACTAGCTTACAGAGGTCAGCAAAAATCAGCCACGCCAAAAATTCTTGCCTCTGGTTGTTCTTCCATTCATCTGAATCCATTAGAAAGGAAAGTCTACAAGAGAAAGACCATAGAATCTCAGAGACTTAAGACAAGCAAATAAAAGAAAGAGTTATTAATTTGCTGGATGGAGTTGAGAGAAACACCCCCCAAAATTCATAGTTGCTTAGGCAACCAAAAATATTAGGCCAGTACCTAAGAATGTGGTGCGTCTTTCAGTATGCAGAGCCCATTAGGGCATTTCATAAAAATGTTATACTTGATAGCTATTTCTGTCTGCAGCATTTAGAAGATGTTTGGAATGAGAACAGGTAGATTAAAAACAGATCAGCCTTTGGGGGGAAAAATGAAAAAAAAAGGCCATCAGTCTGTCATAATGACTGCCAGATGAACTGTGGGATCTATATCCTCAACTAATGAAATACCTCTAAAAATTAAATGTAGTTAATTATTATATACATTACATCATTCTACCCAGAATAGTGCTTAAAGATATAATATGCACAATGTGTATAAATGAATTAAAATATAATGAATACATTACAAAATTCCTGGAAATAAAATATATGTGGTCACTAGGAGTTGACACCAACTTGTAATCGGTTACACCCATCAAACTTAATCTGTACCACAGAAGAAAAAACAATTCAAGAGCCGAAATTAAAAACTATTATACTCCCTTTGTATATAGCAAAGCTGAAGTTTATGCCTAGTTAAATTGTCTCAATACAAATGTGAGTTGTATTCTTCACCTTTATGATATTTTATTTTCAGTCTTTTGTGCCTTTGCTTTTGCTTAACCAAACTGTTGTTCAAAATGAAAGTTATATCGGAAAGAGATCAGACTGGAACCAAGCTCATTCTTCATGGAAATTGTTCTGAGTTTTAAAAAAAATCAAGAGGAATCTGATAGCATCTTCTCTGAATACTGTAATAATGCATTTTATTAAAAGACATAAGTTTTCATGAGCTGCAACCTATTTCATCAGATGCTGTGGATGTAACAGCTTTGCTTGCCATACAGGGGGAGGATACTTGAGAAGAGACACAAGAGAGAAATGCCACCTTTAATGCACCAAAAAGCAGATACCTCCTTTCTCTGCCTCAGCATTAGCTGTTTAAAATCTGGGGTGGAATAGGAGAAGTCAGGAAAACTTTAATATGAATTTAATGTCTCCCCATAGCCTCAAATTAATTTGGAATTTCCTGGAAAGTTAGAAAATAGAAGAAAAAGTAAAACCATCTGTTAAAAATTATCACATATCCTACAAAGGCTGGATGAAACAAAGTAAGCTTGGGAGGTGCTTTCTTAAAAAATAGTTTCTGTGTGATCACTGCCACTGTAGTTTGTAGACTATGGTTTCCAAAGCCATTGTAGTGAAGTGGTTAAAATGCCTTATTGCAGCCATAGAGTTCCCACCGTCAATGTTTATCTTTCCTAATGTAGGTTTGATTGGGGCTGACAACAATTGTAATCCAAAATAATTGGAGGCAATGTGGTTGATTAAGAAGGCTGGTTTTGCTTCTAATCTGGAATGCAAACACTTCTCTTATGATAAAATCTTCAGTGGTTATCTTTTCTCACCTCTGCTTTCCTATGATTTGCAAAAGCCATCCAACATAGTCCTTTGCTTCCTGAGTTCTTCCAGCTTCATTGCCTTGATTCCTTTCATCTGACATTGTGATATCAGTTTCTCTCTTGGATAGTTCAAGTTTGTTTCTGGGGTGCAGAGGGGTACAAAAGGTTTAATTTAGGGATTCTACCATTCCAACAGGTACCTACTAATTTATATCCTAGTTTTATCTAAGAGCTAAAGGAAGCAAACATATTTCTCCTCCCATCTAATTTTATCCCCACAATAGGGCTGCAAGAATATTTTGAAGAGATTTTCTGCCTGCAATCTTGCATTTTTCTGCATTTAATCCAATCCTCTATTATTTTCACTATTTGCTCTCAGTCTAGAACAGAGATAGATGATTCTTTTTTTCTCTGGGCCAATATTTCTTTAAGATTTTGGTTTTTGTTAAAACAACAAAATATTTCAGTAATAATGGTGATGATATTATGTCTCTTCAAGGATGGATACAGTGAAACTTTTATATAATTCTTATGGTTTAAGAGTGTCTTTAAAGGTTAAGGAATGGGTTAAAGATACTTGTGGATTATGATATGTATTTTATTTTATTTTTAGTTAAAATCAATAACAAATTGTACCAATGCTGCTCAGCAGATTTCCATGTCTTTGGAGCCATTGAAACTTTGGGCTGCCTTTGATCCATTGGCTATATTTTATTCATTCTTGCTATATCATTTCAGTTTTGAAAAACTTATCTGTCTTTATAGCAATCCATCTAATTTTATCATATCAAGTTCCCTCTTATTTCTGAAAAGCTCATATAACATCCAAAGAGGTTATTCCATTTAAGAATCATAATGAAGAAGAAATTTTTGTCCATTAATATGGCAATCTGTCCATGAAGCCACACTAAATATGTATGAATTCTTTCTTCCCTTAAAATATATTCAGTATAGTATTGGGTGAGGATATTTTGCAAAGTTATGGCACTTAATCATAACTAGAGGTTGGTTTATCTTGAAGAATTTTCCTAACCACTGAAACTCAGTTTGAGCTAATGTTAAGGTCACATATTCATTTCATTTTTCTTTATATAAGTGAATTATTTCTAGCAATTAATTGTATCAGGAGGTACAATCGGGAACAGCTCATAATAATAATTATTTCTTGGTGTACTCATAAAGTGAATTAATGTAAATCAGCACATGCAATATAGATCTTAGACAGTGGTGTTACTTAGATAAGAATCTTGGGTAAAAAGTTGAGGAATTTATCAAGAGATAATTGCAAGGCCATCTAACTTTTGAGACCCCACTATAATATCATTAAGTCTAATTCATTATATTAATTAAAGTTTAAAATTGTTTTGCTGCATGAGTGATTTTATTTATCTCCAGGCTAAAACAATGAATACCATAATTCATGCCAAAATGAGGGGGGGGGGGAATGACTAAAATCTAAAGAGGTGGTCAAAGCTTCTAAAATGTTTATAATTTGAGCCCTAGGACCTCACATATTCTTTATAAGATTGCACAAGACTTTGGTCATTTATAATTTTAATTGGAATATTGCATTTAATTTTGTCAATTCATAGACACCATCCAGAGAAATTGCAGATATCTTATATGCCTACTCCTACTCGAAATGTTTTGCTGAATCATAGTGAACATTTTATACAAAAGAAAAGCATATTGTATGCATGAAATACGCTATAGGCTTTTGTTAATTTTGGGTTTATAAATCACAGATTTTTTTAATCTTTCATACTAACATTTAGACATATGAAGGCATCAGTTATCATAATTGAGGGAGATTTACATAAATTGCAGCACCAAGTTGTGGATGATTGGTACTGAACATACATTTTAGCTGAAGTCAATCTTTCCCCCCGAAATTCATTTCTCCAATCTTATTGGGCATATTGTAGGTATTCAACTGGCTCATTTTTAACACTGCTAGGAAGTAGAAAACAATAATGAGCTTCTTATATGATTTTCCTTTTCTTACACGTGCACTCAACCTTTCAAGCTATAGATTTACTAATATATTCCTTATCCTGGATAAATCAAAATAATCTGTGATATTGACTTACTCATTCTTGTTCTCCCTATGATTCAAGAGCCACTCCACAAAATTCTTCTTCAGCATGTTGTCCAAAGTTCGACTGTAATCACTTGCCAAAGTACCCTCAGAATACCGCCTTTGCAGAAATGTGGAGTTTCTTAGATTTTCCCTAAGAATACAGAGGAAAACACATGGGCCAGGTTTGCATATTGCAACAAGATAAGGATAACTATAGTTTCTTGAACAAATGCTATTTTATTGGGTTTGCCCTGCATGACAACCTAAAACTAATCCTTTATGCTGAGCACAGTGACTGGACTTAATCAAGTATATACTGTGAGAAATCAGTTCCTCTTTTCAATTTAGGGGGATAAATTTTCTAACAATTTATTGATTCAACATGGTTTGTCACATTAGGAATGCATGCATGGGAAAAACAAAAAGGGAAAGCCATTAAAAAAAACTTCAAATGATGATTTAGAAGACCATCTGAATTCAGCTTTAAGATCTGAGACCAATACTTGGTCTTCACCCGGAGATGTTGTGAGTTGACATACAACTTTAATTAATAACAATAATTATGATGATGATCTCTTTTTAAATTAAGTATCCTTTAACTCAATGTTTCAATGTGGCAAGAAATAATCTGCAGATTTGCTAGAGTCCCAAACAAAACTCTGTATTCCAAAATACAGAGAAATTGGAAAAAGTGCAGAGAAGATCACAATGATGATTAGGGGACTTGAGGCTAAAACATATGAAGAATAGTTTCAGGAACTAGCTATGTCTAGTCTAATGAAAAAAAAGACTAGGGGTGTACTGATAGCAGTCTTCCAATATATAAGGGGCTATCAGAAAGAAGGGAGGATCCATACCCTGATAGGAATTTGGCTGTGCAAGTGATTGAAGCTTAATTCTGTGCACGCATAGGATCTAGGCAGCATGTAAGACTGTCCCCACCCCCCGGTCTGTGGAAAAATTGTCTTCCATGAAACTGATCCCTGATGCCAAAAAGGTTGGGGACCGCTGTTCCAAAGCACCTAAGAACAGGATACGAAGTAACAGATGGAAACTAATCCAAGGGAAGAACCAACCTAGAATTAAGGAGAAATTTCCTGACAGAACAATTAATCAGTGCAACTTCAGAAATTGTAGGTGCTTCATCAGTGGAGTTTTTAAGAAGAGATTGGATGAGCATTTATCTGAAATGTATAGGAGCAAACTTTCAAGTTCTTGGCAGCCAATGAAGGGACTGATCTACCAATCTACCCAGCCTCTGGAGAGCTAAGACAGAACCAATCTAGTGAAACTTCAGGTAGCAGTATGGCAGAATGACAACCCTGAAGTGGCCACCATTTTGTCAAATTTCTATCCCATAGGGATCATGGTACAAATTTTGAATGCATTCTATGAATTAGCCCACTTTGGCTGAAAAATTGTTACCCTGTGATGCACCGTTTTGTCCAGTTGAAGGGAATAGAATAGAATAGAATAGAATAGAATAGAATAGAATAGAATAGAATAGAATAGAATAGAATAGAATAGAATAGAATAGAATAGAATAGCTGGAAGGGACCTTGGAGGTCTTCTAGTCCAGCCTCCCACTTAAGCAGGAGAACCTATACCATCTCAGACAAGTGACTGTCTAGCCTTAAAAAAAAAAAGTTTCCAAACTTTCAGCATCTTTTTTTGTGATTTGGTGACCAAAATTAGCTTCAGTATTCCAGGTGTGGTCTTACTAGGGTTTTATAAAGCAGTACTAATACCTCGCGTGATTTTGATTCTATGCCTCAGTTTATACAATCCAGGATTAGCTTTTTTGGCTGCTGCTGCACACTGCTGATTCATGGTTAAGTGATCGTCCACTAGGACTCCAAGGTCCCTCTCACAGTTACTGTTTTTAAGCCAGGTCTTGCCCAGTTGTACCTTTGATTTTTCCTGCCCAAATGTAAAACTTTGCTTTGAAACTCATTATGTTGGATAGGGCCCATTGTTCAAGTTTGTCAATATCTTTTTGGATCCTGAGTTTGTCTTCTGGGATGTTGGCTACTCCTGCCAGTTTGGTGTCATCTGCAAAGTTGATGAGTTCCCCTTCAATTCCCTCATCTATGTCATTTATGAAGATATTGAAGAGTACTGGGCCTAAGAGGGAACCTTGTGGTACCCCACTGCTTATTTATCTCCATGTGGATGTAATAAAATAATAATAATAATAATAATGATGATGATGATGATGATGATGATGATAAAGTTGGAAGGGACCTTGGAGGTCATCTAGTCCAACCCCTTGCTCAGGCAGGAAACCCTACCATTCAGACAAATGACTGTCCAGTTTCTTCTTAAAAACTTCCAGTGTTGGAGCATTCACTGCTTCTGGAGGCCGGTTGTTCCACTGGTTAATTGTTCTAACTGTCAGGAAAGTTTCTCCTTAGTTCTAGGTTGCTTCTCTCTTTGGTTAGTTTCCACCTGTTGCTTCTTGACCTGCCTTCAGACACTTTGGAAAATAGCTTGTCTCCCTCTTCTTTGTGGCAGCCCCTGAGATATTGGAACACTGCTATCATGTCCCCCCTCGTCCTTCTCTTCGTTAAACTAAACATACCCAATTCCAGCAACCGTTCCTTATATGTTTTAGCCTCCAGTCCCCTAATCATCTTTGTTGCTCTTCTCTGTACTCTTTCTAGAGTCTCAACATCTTTTTTACATCATGGTGACCAAAACTGGATGCAGCATTCCAAGTGTGGCCTTACCAAGGCATTGTAAAGTGGTATTAATATTTCACGTGATCTTGATTCTATCCCTCTGTTAATGCAGCCCAGCACTTGTTGGCTTTTTTGGCAGCTGCAGCACACTGCTGGCTCATATTTAAGTGATTGTCCACTAAGACTCCGAGATCCTTCTCACAGTTACTACTATTGAACAAGGTACCCTCTATACTATGCCTGCACATTTGGTTTTTCTTGCCTAAATGTAGAACCTTACTTTTTTCACCATTGAATTTCATTTTGTTAAATAGCGCCCAGTGTTCAAGTCCATAGTGCCATTGAGGACTGAGAGTTTTAGTAATATATAAATACATATGGAGCTACTATATCTTTAAATGCTCTGGTTAAATGTGTTGGGTGAACATAGCCACTTTTAAACATATTTCACACATGTAATATAGAAATACATTTGATTAACCAAGAGTAGCATTACTATATGGGTAGAAAAGTGAAATCCAGTTTGATTGCTCAATATTGATGCAGAGGTAACTTTCTAATGAAAGTGACAAAAAAATGAATGATGAACGCATCCCCATTTGTGTATTTACCTGATGCCATTTTCTTCCATCAGCACAAAACTGAGAGAGATCAGAAGGAGAGAGACAACTTTGAAGGCTACCATGTTCACAACTGGAGCTCTGTAATTTAAAAGGATAGGAAACAGAAAAAGAAATTCTTCTGAATTAGAACTTGAAAGGATTACTTCTACTATAAATTTTCCAAAATATAATTTTCAGAAGTTGTGTACAGAATTATGATGCAATCTTGTAGGAAGAATGTACATTTGCACCTAAATGCAATAGTAGACAGAATGAGGCAGGTGCCATAGATGCTATTTTTCCTGAATCCTAACTGTACTCCTAACCAATCTTTTGTAACCTGGTGTCTTCCAGCTGTGCTAATTTTAACTTCTATAAATCTCAGCCAACTGAGAATTTGGCAGCTGAAGTCCACCCCATCAAGTGATGAATTTCAGATGAAGTGAAAGACTCTACTCCCTTGCCCACATTAAAAATAATATTCCAGCACAAATAGTTTTCTCTTCTGTGTATAGAATGGGAAGGTAGATGTCATCTTATCCCTTGCCCTATAGATTAGACTTGTCCTCATCAGTAGTTACAGCCATCCATGTTTATCAGCAGTTTATCATCTTTCTACATGGCAAGCTACTGTATATTCCTACACACACCACCCTAAAGCATTTATGTAGTGCTGTTTTGCTCCAAAGGTGCATGGATTTGGTTTGTGTGTATGGGGGGGGAGTAAATTAAGACTATCTCATTCTGTGGAGGTAGAAACTGCTCACATCAGTATTGTATCAAAAACATCAGCACTTTTGTAAAGCATTTCACTGAAACATTTGGGAGGAAGATACTTTCCAACTAAAGAAAAGGTAGTGAAATTGTGGGATATAGTGCTGTGCTGTTCCATGTACATTAGTTATGACATGGCTATGGCTGTTGTTTCTCACTGTATAATCATTCCATTAGGGATGATTATTTTGTTTGTTTTAAATGAGAGTAAACCACCTCTCTGTCCTTCAGAACCCATCTGCTCATTCTACAGAATGAGACTAAAGTCCACTAAGCTAAATTCCTCTATAAAGGCACCATTATCTAGGATGAATTTACTCTGTGAAAAGATTGTTTAACTCCTGCCAGGCTGAGAAATTTTGCTGCATTTTTTGTTTAGTCAAGTGTTAATTCAATTTAAGGAAAGAAAATTTGCTTTAGGGTTTTTTTGTTTTTGTTTTGAAAAAAACTGAATGTCATGGAGAAGCCATCTGGGGGAAGGAGGATTTGAAGAGGAGCAATATCAATCTGGATAACAATTAAGTAGCCCACCTCCATCACCTTCACCATCACTGCCATCTCTCTATTTCAAATCTCTTTCTTCTATTTTCCAAAGGGTCATTAAGCAACAGCACCATTTGTTAGTGTAGAATCTGGTCCTCTGACAGCTGAATGAAATCTGAGAACCTACCTGGTCAAATTGCTTTTCATGAGAGGATCTGGCATCCAGCAACAAGGATTCCTTATATACCCAAGGGCATGACAAAACAAACCATTTCCTTAGGAACAACACAGGAAGCTCTGCACCTAATCAAACTAGATTAAAAGCAATTTAGGCCAACTACTTTTAGGTTCACTGACCTTTGGAGCATGAAAATGCCCTTTTAAATTATGTTTGTATTCCTGCAATTAAACTTGTGCTGCGTTGCTAAAATGAAGATCCGGTGCATTTTCTATAATTAAAGCCATTAAGCATCCAGATTTCCCCAGAACCACTCCTCAGTTAATTAACAGAACCTAAGGGACCATGCTAGTATACTTTATCCTGGCTGAGACAATCCTGCATTTGGGCTGCATTTCTTCTTTGATTTTAGTCTGCTATCTTTCCAGCTGACAAAATGACAGATGGTTCAGCCGTTGACCCAGCAGCAGGGAACACAAGTAGGGTATCTAGCAGTCTGTTGGAACCAAGTTTTCAATATTTGTTATGGATGGCCACAAAGTTGGAAAACTGTGAATACCTAACAATAGTTCTTCCCATTTTATTTTATAGAAAATAAAATATAGTAGTTCCACAGAAAATAATAAGCCTGTATTTTATATTAATTTTCTATCAATCAAATTACTACCTTTCCCCTTATTTTTAAATGTTAATTTTCCCTTTACATTTACATTCCTTGCTTCCTCATATGAACAGACAACAGCAAAGAGGTGGAAGAAATAGAAAAAGTAGCAGCAGCAGAGGGAGGCTTATTTCAAAAGGGAAGCTTGGCAGTAAGTAACATAGGTATCATACTTTCATGTTTTCAAGTTTCTGTGAATGTAGCTTTACAATAAGGTAGAATTAGCTCACCCAATTGTAATTCCTATCTGGTTTATCCTACAAGACCACCATCAATTTTGCAAATATAGTATCAAAATACAATTTCATCTGTCTCTTCTGTAGCCTGAGAAATTGGTGGAGGGTCCCTTCTTGCTCCATCCCCTATCTAACTGTGGGCTATGCTGTTTCTTATCTGACTGTTTCCTCCCAAGTCTTAGTCAAGTAAATGGAAATCATCCCTTTCTCACAAAAAAAAAAAAAGGCTTCTATCTTCCATCACACAGACAGCAAAAACAGGGACAAAAATTTGAACCTAGATTTTTGTATAAATAGGGCTTGCATTTAACACACAGCAGTTGCTGAAATTATTTTGTAATGGCTTTACTGCAACTTTGGCATTCTGGGACATCTACCAAGAGAAATCTGATAGCAGCATCTGACAAAAAAAGGTTACCCTTCCTGAAACAGGATGATTTTAAAAAGAGAGCCATTCTCTGTAATGGTCCTTGTTACTCTGTACAGAAAGCTGCAAAAGATAGATGGTCACCTGGTGCAGCAAAAAGTGTGGATCTGGAATAATACTGGAATGATGCCACATATAAAACAATCCAAATAGCCAATCTAAGCATTATAAACAGAATTGGTAATCAATTAGTGGGAACTATTTAGCTGAATGGTTTTATAGTCTGTGCATCCAGGCCTTGTGCTCTAAGGCAAACTAGATATCATATCATGTTTCCACAAAGTGCTACTTGCACATTTGTTTCTCTTTCATTAAGTGCTTCTATGAAATGGAGAGTAAATAGCATGAAATAAATATCTAGTAATATCACAGACCTGCTGTTAGAAGCAATTGCTTCCCCTTACTTCCTATCAGCCTGTTGGAGCAGCAGGAGGAATTTACTTTGGAAAAGGCAACATTGCTCTGAAAACATCATATCACACATTTTATATATAGTACTTGGAAGAAGAACCACCATGCTGGCAACTGTGAAATGTTTGGTTTTCACACTATTTTATAGTCATTGCTGTTTCCTTCTAATTGTGCCTTTGGTGGAGCAAAATGTTGAACAAGCTGATTACCCTAAAATGCTTTATTTGCTTGGGAATAGGGGGAAAAGCTATATACATAAATCTTCACTTACCAAGTGCGTCTTCAGCAATGGGTCAAGCTTACAATAGTACTAAAAAAGTAGATTTAAGTCTCAAACTCACAGTGTGATCATGAGATCAAAATTCAGGCACTTGGCAAGCAGCATACATTTATGGCAGTTTTAGTGTCCTGCGGTCACATAGTCTCCAGTTGTGACCTTCATATGCCACTCTTGAGAAGCAAAGTCCTTAGGGAAACTGGCAATAAGTTGTAAGTTGTGATCATATAATGTCATGCTTAATGACAGTGGTGATTCACTTAATGACTGCAGTGAAATTGATGTCATAAGTCTGACTGACTTAGCTGGCTGACTGGCCGTACTCAGCGTGTGGTCCTCAATGGAACTACATCTACATGGAGGGAAGTGTGTAGTGGGGTGCCCCAGGGCTCTGTTCTAGGCCCAGTGCTCTTCAACATCTTCATCAACGATTTGGATGAGGGGATAGATGGGGAACTCATCAAATTTGCAGATGACACCAAGCTGGCAGGAATAGCCAACACTCCAGAAGACAGGCTTAAGATACAGGAGGACCTGGACAGACTTGAACACTGGACGCTATCTAACAAAATGAAATTCAATGGTGAAAAAAGTAAGGTTCTGCATTTAGGCAAGAAAAACCAAATGTACAGGTATAGTATAGGGGGTACCTTGCTCAATAATAGTAACTGTGAGAGGGATTTTGGAGTCCTAGTGGACAATCACTTAAATATGAGCCAGCAGTGTGCTGCAGCTGCCAAAAAAGCCAACACAGTGCTGGGCTGCATTAACAGAGGGATAGAATCAAGATCACATGAAATATTAATACCACTTTACAATGCCTTGGTAAGGCCACACTTGGAATACCGCATCCAGTTTTGGTCACCACGATGTAAAAATGATGCTGAGACTCTAGAAAGAGTACAGAGAAGAGCAACAAAGATGATTAGGGGACTGGAGGCTAAAATATATAAGGAACGGTTGCTGGAATTGGGTATGTTTAGTTTAACAAAGAGAAGGACGAGGGGGGACATGATAGCAGTGTTCCAATATCTTAGGGGCTGTCACAAAGAAGAGGGAGTCAAGCTATTCTCCAAGGCCCCTGAAGGCAGGACAAGAAGCAATGGGTCAAGGACAAGAAGCAACCTAGAACTAAAGAGAAACTTCCTGACAGTTAGAACAATTAACCAGTGGAATAACCTTCCTCCAGAAGAGGTGAATGCTTCAACACTGGAAGTTTTTAAGAAGAGACTGGACAGCCATTTGTCCAAAATGGTGTAGGGTTTCCTGCCTGAGCAGGGAGTTGGACTCGATGACCTCCAAGGTCCCTTCTAACATTATTATTATTATTATTATTATTATTATTATTATTATTATTATTATTACTACTACTACTACTACTACTACTACTACTACTACTACTACTACTATTATCTGATGCAGTGAAGTGATGTTTCATTTAATGACTACATTGCTTAATAACAAAGTTGCTAGTCCCAGTCATGATCATTAAGTGAGAACTATCTGTACTTTTATTGAGACAAGGATACTTTGAACCCTGCATTGCAGACCTTCATGGCAATACCTTGGGTTGATTCCACAGTCAGTGACAATATCATGAGAAAATATATACATATGACTGCATTCTTAGAGATCTAAATATTCATATATGTCCACAAATACAGAACAGAATTAATTTTTCTATTAAAGCTAGAATAATTATGCTTATAGCTAACATCTGAACTATCTGCTTCCAAAAAGCTATGGTTAGAAAGCTGACCTTCTTGCTAATAGAAAACCAATACATCAAGATAAAACAAAACAAAACTTAGCCCCGTTTTTGTTTGTTGTGCTGCATGTTTTCTTCACTTGAATGTCAAAATAGAAGAGTATACAAAATCTTGCTCCATCCCATTTCTGATCCAAAGAGTAGGATGAAATTGTATGACTGCATCGGTTATGACTGCAAGGTGGGTATTCATAGATGGATTCAATTTATAATCTAGTAGGTAATTGATGGAATGGGACATGTAGCTGTATCATGGATAATAAATGGCCTCTTTCACCAAATTAATAGTTGCACATTAAAATGTGTTCACTATTGCAACTTGAGCTGCTTTTTCCTGTTAAAATAACTGTTGAGTACTGCTCCTCTCTGATATTAAATCTTTTTCTCTGATTCATTTAATTGATTCTTCTTCTTGCAGAGTGTAGGCAATCAGATTCAGTATTGGAGTTTTCATCTGCCAAATAGTAAGGTTGTTTTTTTCTCTCCCTCCCTCCCTCCCTCTCAAAATTGTAAGGGGCAGGCTGTTAACCTGCCAATGCCACCAGAGGGGGTCGGTTGGCCATTTTCAATTTAATATTCCTATTTTAGGATGAGGTAGGGTGAGTAGAGTTTTAGCTTCTCTGACTCCATTAAGCCTAGGGAATATTTTCTGCTCTCAGCCATTCTCCATAGGTCCCTGCCTCCCTCCTTTGCCTTTTGTATAGCTCGGAGTAGTATGCTCATGTAGAAATCCAAATTCACAATCTACAGAATGAATTAAGGCATAGTAAAAACTATACACTTGGCTTACATTTTGAAGAAGATGACATGATACATCTAATTATACGGTATAAAAAGTCACTATTAGAATCCCCTCATTGTATTTGTACTAATCCTTTGTATTTCTTGCAGGATTCTTCTTTCTACTCCAATGTGAGAAATGATATCTTTGTGAAGTCCAAGATGGACAGAAATCCAAGAATATAGGGTTATTGGCTGTAGCACTATCTAGTGGTGCTATTAAGAAAATTTGTTATTATACTAGACAAGATGTTAAGCAGCTTAAGTGTACATCAGTTTCTTTTGTTTTTTTGCTCATTCACAAACATAGAGAGCTGTTTGGTTGATTTTAAACTAAAATAGCCAATTACATTACACATTAGTCCAGGAGTTAGGAGTGTGATGAATGGCCTGCTCAGCTTTTTTGTATCAGAAAATAATGTATTTATTTGTTTAAACAATTTAGAGACAGAAAAA